TGGGGCAGACAACTTGTGCGCACAAACAAAATGAGCCTATTGGCACAATTTAGACAGAAAAGAAGCCCTAGGAATTATGCTAGGAATTATAGGAGATTTTCTAAATGTGTATAGCACTGAGCTCCAACTCTTTTGGTTGGAGTTGGAACACTGCAAGTGAGAAACAGCCCCTCTAGATGCGTCACTTCTTTTTCTGGTAAAGAGGAATTCACAGGGGGTGTTTGATAAAACCCTGTTTCTTCTCCTGGACCTCTCAGTGGCCTTTGATACCATCAACCATGGTAAACTTCCGGGGCAACTGTCTTAGATGTGAAAGGCACCGCACTGCAGTGGTTCCACTCCTACTTGGATGACAGGCTCCAGAAGGTGGTGCTTGGGGGTATTGTTCTGCCTCTTGGAGTTCCAGTATGGAGCTCCTCGGGGGTCAGTTCTGCCCCCCCCCCATGCTATTTAACATCTATATGAAGCCACTGGGTGAGGTCATCCAGAGTTTTGGACTACATTGCCAACAGCATGCTGGTGACACGCAACTCTTCTCTCTCCTTCTCATCTTCAGGAGGTGAGGCTGTGGATGTGCCGTACTGGTGCCCAGCCACGACCACAGGCTGGATGAGGGCCGACAAAGTGAAGCTCACCTCAGGCAAGATGGAGATGCTGTCGGTGGATGCTTATTCTGACTGGATGGAAGGAATCCAACCTGTTCTATATGGGGTTACCTTCCCCATGAAGGAGCAGGACTAACGCTCGGGTGTCTGAGCCATCTTGGTGACCTGAGGCCCAGGTGGCTTCAGTGGCTCAGAGTGCCTTCTACCAGTTTCGACGGGTAACTCAGCCACATTTCTGTCTGGACAGAGGCACTCTGCTATCAGTGATCTATGCTCTGTTACTCTCTAAGCTAGACTACTAGACAATGCACTCTGTGTGGGGCTGCCCTTGAAGACTGTTCAGAAGCTGCAGCTTGTGCAAAACACCACAGCCAGATTAATAACAGGGATCAGACGGTCTGATCATATAGCACTAACTCTGGCCCATTTGCACTGGCTGTTTCTGAGCCCAATTCAAAGTGCTAGTTTCCACCTATAAAGGCCTACAGTGTTTGGGACCATGATACCTGATGGAACATCTCCTGACCTTCTTCTATTTGGACACTACGATCAAGTTCTGGGGCCTGTCACCACCTGCAACCTCCAAGGGAGGCTTGGTTGGTAAAAAACAAGGAAAAGGGCCTTTTTGGTGGTGGCCCCGTTAGGGAACAAGCTCCCCACTGAAGTCTACCTGGCACCAGCACTGCTATCTTTTTGGCTCCAAGTAAAGCCTGTCCTCTGCTGCAGGGCATTCCAGTGGCCTCTGAGGCCTGCTTGCTGTGAAACAGGTCTGAATATTGTTCTTTCTTTAAGTTATTATTTAATATATGTTTTAAGCTGCTTAGTGTGCAGTTATAAATTTTGCTTTTTTAATGGTATTTTACTGTGTTCTTAATACAATGTATCTCCCCCCCCCCCCCCCCAGTGCTTTGTGAACTACCCAGAGAGCTTCGGCTGTTGGGGGGTATAGAAATAAAATAAATAAATGTGGGACTCGAAAGACGTTCAAAAGAGAGGCTTCCTGGATGGCTCAGAGCTTGACCGTTCCAAAGCTTGCGCAGACCGCGGCTCGGATGGACTCCTGCACTGCTGTGCAACCCCTTCTCAGTCTGAGAAAGCCGAACAGGCCGGATCCGGATCTGCCCCGTGACAGGAGTGCTCTGCTCTCAGATTTGCCTCTGACCGATGTGCAGAGAATTCCCTTCTGCCATGATTCTCCCCATGCCTCAGTTCCCCAACTGTAACGTTTTCAGAGGGGGCTGCCACTGGGAGGCAGAAGGTGATGGGAAGGCCATTTCTGCCAGCCCACTGCAGGCACCTAAATCCGGACCCAATGCAATGCAGATTTTGGGAGACTTTGCCCATTCTGGAGCAGGTGAAGATGGGTTGCTTTTGTAACAGCCCCAGCAAACAAAAGGTAGATTGAATCTACTATGGACTGGCTAATGCGGTAGGAAAAACTCTCTCAATGTAAAAACAATTGGACAGGGAAATATGGTCCCAAGGGGGGAGGAAGAGAAACATTTGTCACTGGAAATGTTAAAAATAGCCTGGGTAAATACCTTTCTGGAAAGGCAATGGCTTGGGTGCCACCTTCGAAGGGTTTGGCTTGGCTCCCACCAGAGCAGCTCCCTGATTGACACTATCTTCAGTCCCTGTGTAAAACGGCATGACAAACAAAACCAAAGAGCACTCTCTTTTTAAAAATTGTAAACATATAAACTAAAAGCCCCCCCAAAAACAAAAAATTCTTGCTTTTAAAATCTCCAGTCAGTTGTGCATAGCTGCTGAGAAAAAGGTAAACAGAGGCCTCTCTCCCCTTCTTGTGCCAAGTGAAATGGACTCGTGTGTGTGTGTGTGTAAGCAAAAAGAAAATACTACTTTAAATACTGAAGTCTTCCAGCTGTAAATGAAAAAAATGTTGCTGATGATGCTGACACACTTCCTGACAGTCAGGCCCCCCGAGGGTGTGGAATGGGCTTCCCCGAGAGGTCGTTGAGGCCCCATCAGTGCGAGTGTTCAAGGATAGGCTGGACGTCCACATGGTGGGCATGTCGTGAGTGGAGCCGGCTGGTGCCGGAGGTCAGACTAGATGGCCCGAGAGACCCCTTCTGACTCGCTCTGTTTCTATGTTTCTATGCTGTCGTTGTTGAGCATACTTCCTGCTTGTCTATATCATGAATTTATGCCAGGTTACTGTCAAGCTGAAATAGATTAAATAGCACTTACACCAAAAACATCTGGCAATAGTCAGAAAGTGGTTTAGCTGGCTCAGGGTTAGGGTCAGAGTTAGGGTTAGGGTTAGGACCTCTTTAAAGACAGCCAAAGGGCACACTCTTATACCTGGGTAGATAGAAAAAAGGACGTACACCTAGGATTTTTTTCTGTCTAAACAGCCATAAGGTTGTGCCTAAAATGTTCCACTAAGCCTGTCAAAATCAAAACCAGCAAGAATGGGAAGCAAAAGAACCTGCACAAGATGATCGTGTTGGCCGTTTAGTGACCAGACCAGTCTGCCTGGTCTTTTGCCCTTCCATTTATATCTCGCCAGTGTCTTTCTCTAATCCCACTTGGCACAGAAAAGTTCACACTCACCCATCAAGTCCATTTTTCCTTTTGCTTGATATGCTGTTGAGGGCCAGATTCCACTCATCCTCCTCTTCCTCCAAATTAATTACTTTCTACAATTGTGCTTTTCTGTGTGATTTTCCTGCGAGGATTTTGCATGAAAAAGTAGCAGATCATCAGAAATGCAGCGGCAGGAAGGAGAAATCGGCAAAAGCCAAAACTATTTGCTTTTTGTTCAAATATTTATTCAGGGTGCACATGTGAGTCCAGAATAGTATAAAACTGGAAAATTTAAGGTAGCATCACTGAAAATGGTTGGCATAACTAGAAAGAGCTTGCCTGGTTTAGGAAAATGGGCTCTTACAGAAAGAGAGACCTGAGTTACTTTTTGGAGATGAAATATTCGCTGAGCACAATCATCGCTCTTTCCCATGGGCTCTTGGACAAAGGGAAGAAGGCACGATAATCTCAGCAGACTACTGGCTCTGCAGCCAGGCCTTTTTCTGACATACACGGTACAAAGCAACACAGAACCAGTGAAAATCCATTAGCAAGATCTCAATATCTGCCTGGAGCTACCCTGTGCATGCCTCAGTTGTCCTTCTGGCGATGACGATTCTCTTTTCAAATTCTTATTAGAATAAGAACAATAAAGTATCCCTTTCTAGACTGCACACCCCTGATGAAGGAACTTTGTCTCTTAGCTCTTCTGCCACTCCAGTGGCTGGTTCTGCAACACATGACCCATTAAGAGGCTTGGGTCGGGAGCAGCTGCGTTCGAGGAAGGCCAGCCAAGTCCCGCCATTTCTGAAGTGGAATGGCCATGCAAACAGAAGTCTGGCTATGATTCAGCTTTCAAAGGGAGAGCAGAAAGTGTCTGGGCCTTGCTCTCTCTTTGTAACCAAATGCTGGGGCGGGTCTGTGCAGTGGAGACAGGAATGTAGGCAAGGCCCCAGAAGGTGGAACCAATCTAAGCAGGGATGATTTGCCTAAGACCTGCAGGAGCGGCAGGCAGTGTGGCAGAGTGGTTAGAGCGCTGGCCTGGAACACACCTCTTTGCACTCAATTGCCTGTAGCTTGGTGGTTTGCTAACCTTCATGCAGTTTTTTTCACCCTGCTGAGCAGCAGAAAGGCTTGTCCTGAGGCTTTGTTGCTGGCAACAAGCGAAAATATGCTGGCCAGCTTTGTTCCTTGGTCCCAGTCCTTTCACCTGTGGCCCCATCCACAACAGGAATACTGGCCCTCAAGAGCTTCTCCAAAATGGAATCCAGCCCTTTGACAGAAAGAGGTTTGGCATCCTTTTGTCTTAAAAAAGAAAAGGCATTCCTTTTATTTCAGCAAAAAAAAAATCTTCCAACAAAAAGTTTTTTTTCTCCCAACAAATATAATCAATTGTAGCCCAAGAAAGGTGTTCAGCAGTAGCATTGCTACCTGCTTTTCACCTGACATTCACACTCCGATATAGCCAGGTAAGATCCAAAGGGTTTGCTAATACAAGCAGAACGGCTCACCTGGGTAGGAGCATCTTGTCCTGCTGGAAAAGATACTTCCTATTCCCTTTATTGATGCTCAGAGCTTACCAGCCCTCTTCTTACAGGTTACAAGCCTACATCTGCCATCCCTTGAGACATGCTGTGAATAAGATCTAACTGCTTCCCGCACACCCCCAAAGAGCCCCATACATGAAAGCAAAGCATGAATGACCGTGCAAGCTGAAATCAGACTTCGGAGTGGCCTTATGTGACAGCAGAGGGGGAGGGGCCCTGGCCAGGTCCACGGCTGCACCAGCCCCGGAGAAATCCAGCTCGTCCAGGGAGCAGGAGGCAGAGGAGGGGCTGCTCCCTTCCCTCACACAGTCAAGTCAGCTCTGGCAGAAGAACGAGAAGAGCGGCTGCCCTTGGTGGAGCTCTTATGATGGAGGTGGGCCTTGGGCTCATAATGATTGGGAACTCCACCCTGAGAGGCCGCCCCACCGGCAGCGCCATCCGCTGGGGCCAGAAAGTGCTGCGATTTCTCCTGCTTCTGGTTGGACCAGTTGTCCTGCTGTTCGTAGGACGGCGTGGCGGGAGGCGCGATCACGCGGCGCCTCCTGCACCGCTTCTTGAACAGAAGGTGGGCCAGCTCCACCAGGCTGAGCAGAGCTGACACCAGCCCCACCATGAAGTAGAACTGGATGAAGATGGTCTTCTCGGTTGGCCGAGAGACGAAGCAATCGATGAGGTGAGGGCACATGTGATGCTTGCAGATGTACTGGTATCCCACCTGGAAGCCATACAACATCCACTGCCCCACAAGGAAGCCCATCTCAGCCAAGATCCTCATTACAACGTTGACTATGTAGAAGGTCTGTATGTTTTGGGTGCGTTGGCTGGGCTGGAGCCCAAACCGGACTTGGCTTTTCCTCCCTGCCCCTTTGGCTCCCTCCTCTTCTGCTTCCGGTTCCTTCAGGCCTTGATTGATCTTTGTGGTCTGGTGCATGGAGTAGATGACGAAGAGGACTGCCGGAGCCGAGAGCACCACAATGTGGAAGACCCAGAAGCGGTAGTGGGAGATGGGAAAGGCCAGGTCGTAGCAGATCTGCTTGCAGCCCACCTGCTTCGTGTTGCACTCAAACTCCTCCTGCTCGTCCTCAAAGACGTCGCTGCCCACCGTGGCCAAGATCAGGATGCGGAAGATGAGCATCACCACCAGCCAGAAGCGGCCCACCATGGGCGAGTGCTCCTGCACCGCGTCCAGGAGGGAGCTCAGGAACCCCCACTCGCCCATGGCTGCTGCAGGGGGAAAGGGAAGGCAGAGGCATCAGCGGCACCGGACTATTGCGCTGCGGTGGTGGGGTGGGAGGGCAGCCGTGGGGTTGGCGTCCGAGGGCCAGTCCGTATGGAAGCCCGGAAGCCACACGGACCTGTGGCCAAAGTGAGGCATGGGGGCGGACACCAGCCGTGCCGCTCATTGCTGCGACGCTGAGGGCCCCTCCTCTTTGGGGGAGGCACCTTCTCAGTGGCGGTGGTCCGACAGGGCCGTGCACTTTCTCTGCAGTTCTGGGGGTCCTCTCAGGGAGTGAGGATGGGGGCCTGGAATCTGGTGGGTGCAGGGCCTCCCTGACATGCTCCTGGCCCCCCACACAGGAGGGGCTGCAAGGGGTCCCGCAACAGCAGCCGTGTTTCCTCCTGTGGTGCCAGGAAGGCACTTGGCAGCCAAATAACCCTTCCACCCACGGGGAGGAAGGGCCTGAGTGTCCAGGGGCTGCTCTGCTCCCCACCCCTGGGGGTGGGGGACTTTAAAAACACTGCTCTTAAATTGCATTAATAAAATACACAAATTGTGGGGAGGCCTTTCTGGACAGAAGGGGTAGATGTGACTTAATTTTGGGACAATTTCTAGCCACATCCATGGCTTGTTTTCTTAAACCTGGTCAAGACCCAAACACACAATAAAACAATGTGGTTTGACTTTCCAATTGAAGGAGGTGTTCTGTGCTCAAAAGGTTTGGACAAAGCCTTCTCAGCAAGGCCAACAGAGCCAAGGGGGGCAACTGGTACAGTGCCTGGAATGATGGACGATAGCATCGGATCTCTTCCAAACTGTGAGGACAACTGCCCCCCCCCCCAACACCCCAGCGGATAAAAGAGGAGGACCTTGACCAAAACTCTGCTCTCTTGCTTTCTCTCTAGCTGAACATCCCCCTGGCTAAGTGAAAGAAATGCACTCTGCACCTCCTCAGGTGCTCTTTCATATGTTTGGCTTTGTGGTTCTGTGCCATGAAGTCGCCTTGGACTTAGGGTGACCCTCTGAATGGAAGCCCTCCAAAATGCCCTACCATGACAGCCCTGCTTCTCTGTTCTAACTTCGAGACTGTGGCTTCCTCGATGGAGTCAATCCATCTCTTAATCAGTCCTCCTTTTCTTCTTCTGCCTTCGACTTTCCCTAGCACGATCGTCTTCTCCAGGGAGTAAGTTTTGCGACATGTTCCTAAGTGACCACTGGCACGAAAACCCACTGAGCTGTGACTTCTGCCGTCCTTGCTGAAGGGTTTCATTTTCACTGCCCTGACATCAGTCAAGGGAGGAACAGTAGATTTGAGAGACTCAGAGATGCTTGAAAAATGGACTCGCCGGGCAAGAGTTCTGTGTTTGGCCTAAGATGCTGTGAGTCTCAACTGGCCAGCACTTTTTGACTCACCCCTCTCAGCAGGACCATTTTAACTCTGGGCAGGAGGTGAAAAGGCCATGACCTTGGCAACACCAAGAGAGACTGGGGGTGCTGGCAGATGTTTTATGTCTGTTGCCAAGTTATCTGGAGAGGGGAAGATAAAATCAGACAGCTCAGCCAGATCCAGACTGTGCTGGGGACAGACTGGTGCAGCGGACGGGCAAGGTGCGTTCCACCGAGGGCCTGGCCAGACTAATTTCCCTGGAGAAACGAATGCACATCATATATTGCAGTGTCTGCCAAACCTCTGATAAGTGAGACACACTTATCTTCACTTAAACCTGGAGGCATACCGCACTCTTGTACCTGAAGAGGTTGAATAGCAAGGATTAGCCACTGAAGCACTCTCTGCCTCCTTCTGCATGAGTCGCCCCTCTGGATGCATGTGGAAATAAAAAACAGCCAGCACAGGGAATGTGATTCTGCTGTGTCTCTCCGCCAGGGGTGGTGGGATGTTTAAATCCCATGGGGTGCAGAAGAGAAAGTCAGAGAGTAGTAATTCATGCAGAGCTGCAGCAGACACCCTTTTCCTCTGGGCTTGGAAAAGTCTTCCATCAGCTCATTTCTTCTGGCTTGCATTACCCGTTCTGTTCTAGCAGAGCAATGCATACCGACCCACAGTTCGGGAATGACTAAGGCAGTCCTATAGGACCGCTCGTGCTTTTTTAAGCAGAGTAGACTGGAAATAGGGGAGGTATCAAAGAGGCAGAAATGTAGAAAAGTTATATGGTGGGTGAAGAGGGTTGCTGCTTCCTGGTGGCATGGCTGGACCTTGAACTGCGGGAAGGGTGACCCACACACAGCAGATGCAGCGTCTCTCCGCACGGAGCTGCAATGATAGCAAATGCTTCCCTGGTTGCCTTGCTATCGTAAGATCTTCAGGACAACCCTAAACAAGGAGAAGGGACAGGACACACCTTTCTGAAAAAGTGTGTTCCTCCTGACATATACATACATACATATTTTTCTAGCTTCTGTTCTCTGCTTCCTTCTCCCATTTCCTTTTTTAAAACAATCCTAATTGGGTTTGGTGTAATGCAACACTTGGAAGAACACAAAACTCCTTCATCATAATTCAGAATATTAAGACTGCACATTTTTAATTCTATGGATGTTTAGACAGAAAAAAGGCCTATCGTTCTTAACATGCCCCAGCCAGCTATAAGCCCTTTTCTGTCTAAACATACATTGGTCAATATCTGCTAGAGGGCAAAATCTGTCACCATCTGGTAACTGGAGGGGCAGATGTGAATGGGCAGGCTGCCAGCAAGCGCTTTCCCCTTCAGACCAACAACTACCTGAAAGGTGGCTGCCTGCAACCTCAGATGGGCCCCCCGTTTGGCCATGAAGCTCACCGGGTGGCTTTAAGCCAGTCACCGGCTTTCCACCTGACCTACCTCACAGGGCTGTCATGAGATTAAACGAGAAGGCAGGAACCTTTAACTTCTCGTAGGAAATGTGCGATATAATTGAAAAGCAAACAAAGATGGCATCAGTACTTTGTTTTTAGGAATTAAAACTACAGGCCATTAAAGGTACAGGCATTCAGCTGAAATCAGTGGAAATATCTTTTTTAAAGCTGAGTCTTCAGTATTCCCTGCTAGAGCTAGAACTGGAAATGTTTAAAGCTGTGTGAACTTTGCAGCCTGCCGGGTCCTCTGTATCTTGGTGGCTGTTATTAAATCACGGGACAGCAAATTCCATATTCCACACTCTAACTGTTTCCTTTCGCTGTTCAGCTTCACTCGATGGCCCCCTGTTGTAGCATTGGGAGAGACACTTATCCATTTTCTCCACACTTTAAGCACCTCCAGCATCCTTCTTTAGGCACCCTTTTGCTCTGCCGTGTTATTGCAGCACAGAATATTCTAACCCCAAGGTAGTTAACTGGATGAAAGAAGAATATATCAAAGATGAGCCATTTCCTCTAAAGAAGCGTAGCTTATTGAATTGCACATTGTTTCTCACAACAGAAAAAATATGTCCATCTGTCAGTATCAACAAGCATCTCTATTTTATTCCAACGTAATGATGGATTAATGTAAGTCAATGCCCATTTACATGGAAGTAAGCCTTACTGTACACAAAAGGACATACTTCTGAGCAGACATATAGAGAACTGCAGTGTTACAGCTGCTAAAATTTTGATCTGATAGCCCTACCTGTGCCTCAGGTAACCCTACTGCAAGAAGAGCTGCAGAAGGGACACACAGTGGTGAATGGGGGGGGGGGGGCTGCACTCCCTCCCTGCCTCCACAGGGTTGTATTCTCCTGCCCACTCTGAATGGCTCTTCTCTGCAACCCAAAAGTTAGGGATGGATTTGCAGAAGTAGAAGTTCAAAAGGGAAACTGTCCCCTCACTCACCCCCAGGTTTCCTCCAATTTGCTACCTGGAAAGGGCAGGTGCCCACTCATTACCTGCTGCCTGGGATGCTGCCAACTTCTCGGTTTCTTCTAAAGCAGTGCCTTGGGGTCTCTTGGCATCTTTTGTTCCTCCCTTGCTAGCTTCAGCTCTGGCTAGGACAGTGGCGTGCTGGAGCGCGAGAGGCAGGGCTTTCCCTTTAGCTCTGTCTGGAAGCTTTTAAAGTGACAGGACTTCGTGGCAGTCCCCCTGGGCAGACCGGAGAGCCACATCCAGCCCCATCCACTCTATGAGCAGAGGCAGGAGCAGATCCCCCCAGATCCCAGGGTGGAAATTATGCCCACCTAATTTTAATCTCCTCTTAAACAGAAGTCAAGCCAGTGTTTGTGGTTTGCAATAAAACAGAGCAGCTATAAACCCCAGGACAGAGCTAATAAAAGCAGCATTCACTTTCTGCGGTTCCTTCTTATCATCCGCTGGTGTGAGGCTCCTCCTAGCTTAGTGTTCAGAAGTGGACCACTTGGAAGTATGTCCTGGGAGGGAGCATGTCTTGAGATTAATGTCTTGGGAGGAAACAAGGTGCTTCCAGCAACAGGTGGCCACTTTTCCTCTCCTTCACATCAACACATGATGCTGCTACAGTTAGTTCTTTGGTCAAAATTTTGTTTGTTTATTTTATTTACTTAAAACTTTTATATATCATCCCATCACAGATGTCTTGGGATGGTTCACAACATCAATTATAATTGTTGTTATTATGTAGCTGCCTTCCTTCAAAGTCTCAATGAAAAATATTTGCTAGCTTTGCTAACCACTATCCTTTTAACTAGGGATATTAACAATTGAACACTTCAATCCAGAGGGACCATCAGCATGCAAAGCAGGAATTCCCCACTGGTAACACCCATTCATTTCAGTGGTTCTGCTAGAAGCAAAGACTAAAAGTGGATCTAATTCACCAAATCATTAAATCCATCCTGGGGTTTCCCTAACACTAGAATAATAGAATCACAGCCTTGGTAGGGCCTCCAAGGTCATCTAGCCAGTCGTTGTCCCCCCCCCCCCCACCATTCCCCCCCTGCCCCTGCAGATGCAAGAAATGCATTTCTTCAGCATCTTAATTCAACCTCTCCTTGAAAGTCTCTGATGAAAGGCCAGCCGCAATCTTCCAAGGCAGCCTATTTGACTTTCTGCTACCTGGTACTGTCAAGAAGTTCTCCCCAGTGTTTAGCTGAAAAATTCTTTTTTTAGAATTTGAAGCTACTGGACTGAGCGATTCCCTTACAATGCATTTGCTCTCTCACCCAGGCAGCAGCCTTTCGGGTATCTGAAGACTGAAGATGGGCAAAGCAGGGGTGTTCCTCTGCCTTCAAGAAATCTTACAAGGACATCCCCAGATTTCTGTCCAAGAACAGACCCAGAAAATGGAACTCTTGTAGAGATGCAAGGGTAATATCGCAAATCAATGCCTGATTTACATATGTGTGACCAGGCCTTGCAGGTGACTATCCTTTTCACAGGTCCTTTGGTCACACAAGTGACAATAGAATTTTTCTTATTTTGTGCCACTTACATTCCTTTCTCGAAATTATCTCCTAAATTATCCTAACTTCAGCACCCTGATCAAGGTAACCTAGAAGGTCATCCAGTTCTCATTCTTCAAGCTTGCGCGCACACACACGTATTAGCTTTGTTCAATTCACATTTGTTTGTTCAGCACTTTTGCTTTCATTCTAATCACAGTTCACTGTGCTTTGGTCTCTGGAGGGTCTCAGCCTTTCTTTTCCTGACCTTGGACTGTAGTTCAGGCAGTCTCCAAGCTATAAACGCCCAAGTTACAGACACCCATGCTTAAGAACGAACTGCCATAAAGCCTATTAATTTGAAAAAATTACCACCAAAAATTGTACCTACCAAGGAGAGGAAAAGCAGAGAGGGGGCCTCCCAAGACATCACCATAGAGGGATGCAAAGCTGAGCATGCCTCCAAGCATGCCCTCCTCCCTGCCCATCTGGACAGAGAAATCTCTCCGGCATTTCTGTGCTGCAAAGAGGAGGTGCCGGTGAATTTGGGTTGAGAGACGGGGCTGAGATATTTGCAGTTTTTCTACTTTCCTGCCCCGTCTAACCCCTGCAAATGTGGAGGGCTGACTGTTTGTGATCCAACTTACATACAAATTCGACTTAAAGAAAAAAAAATCTGTTTTCTCCGGAAACAAACTTGTTCGTAACCTAGGGCCTGCCTGTATAATTCTTCCTAGGTGTCATTACAGAAATGTTGCAGATCAGATTCATCAGAATATCGTCTTTGAAAATGAGGACTCCTTGAAAATGAGATGTTTTTCTCTCTCATCAAACTAAGCAAATAAACAAACAAAGGCTAATTTTCTGATACAACTGACTGAAAGACTAACTGTCATTACCAAAATGCAGTGTTTTATTGCATTTTCTGTATGCATCATTTTACAATGTGTAATCCTTTAAAGAAAACTGTACATAGTTTGTATCTTTTGAAAGAAAACACATTCAAACACAGCATATGTATATGTAGATGTTTACACACAGAGCGGCTTTGCATGTATTTTCTTTCTAAAGATGCATTGATAATCTTGTAAACCTGCTTTCCCCAACGCATTGAATGACTTTTGGTTATTTTCCTAAGAAAAATGTTAACCCTTTGGAATTTTGCCACACCATTACTGCTGTGTGTGTGTATGTGGGTGTGTGTGAAGACAGAAGGGCTGTTCACATCATGAAGGCCCAGCACAGGTGAGCCCAGAACACTGTAGGATGCGTGTGGCTGCCAATTTGAATATGCAGCTCCCGTTTAACGGCAGGTTAAACACTCCTCACATAAGTTATGGTCCATTTGATCTTTGCATAACTCACACTCACTGGGTTTGCACAAGCTAACAACTCCCAAGTGAGGACAGGTTAAAGAATCCACTACAAGCTGTGCATGTTGTCTGAGCCCAGCCAGACAGTGCCAAAATCAGGGAGTTGCAAAAGAGAAAGAGAAACAAAGGCAGTCCAGCTTGGGCTAAAATTAGACTGAAGGGGAGGCAGCAGAGTTGTTGCAGGGCTAGAAAAAGCAAACCAAAACATTCTCGCAGACTTGAGCCTTGAATGGACTAAAGAAAATTGGCAAGGCATTCAAGAGCAGACAGACTAGCAGGGGCACTGCCTGCCCATGTTGCCCTCCCCTCTCTTCACACCGTGGTGTTATATTAACCCTTTCCTTCCTTCTTCCTAGCTTGTCTTCACTTCTACAGGAATGTTACCTCCAAGAAATCCTGCCAAGTGAGCACAGAAGGCCTGTCTGCACAAGGTGGGCAACACTTTCTTAATGCCCACACAAAACCTTGGAAGTTAACACTTGAGATCCTCAGACTTTGGGGAAATTAGCTCTGCAAATGTCCAAATTCCGAAAAGATGGTGTGCATGTAAACATACCAGAAGTGCTTTTTTTTGAAAACTGGTGTCAACATCCCGTGACTTGGAGAAGTTTTCCTTTGGCAAAACGATCCATCAGCAACTGATGGATCTGAAGATGATGCCTGCTCATGTAAAATGTGTTTCACCAGGTCATTGTGATTGTATTTTTCTAGGACCTGTTTCAGACTTGGCTGTGGCATTACCCATACAATTATTTTCCAGAGGCATCTGCCTCCACAGAAATACAACATCAGAGACCAACAAGTGTTGGTTATCAAATTCTACAGAGCATTCATGGAGTGAACTACAGCTTCTACACACAGAGAATTTTTACAACTACCAATTGCATAAATTCTATTCCATTCTGAGACACTTGTTCACTGGGATTTCTTGTGGCCATTTGAGAGCCTTTAAATAGCACAGGCCAGGCGAGGGAGACCAAAGTGTTGGTTGAATCTGTGCAGAGTCCTCCCTCTCCACCCCCACCCCAGTGGAAAATCTGACAGCTCTTTCGACACTTGACTGCCTTCCAATAAACACTTTGCTCTTACTGATACAGGGTCCTGGAATGTCATTTTGATGGCCAGCGTTGGGTGGAGGGGAAGGGGCCACGCTGCCAGCAGGTCTTGCCAGGCAGTAGCGCATTCAGAATTCATAGGTTTTAAAGGGAGTGGGCGCTTCCCCCTCCCTCGTGTTTTGCCTGTTCCCCAACCAGGACATGCTGCAATCTAGCAATTTCCAAAAGCCTCGCCATGAGAAATACGCCAATTAAAAGTTCCCATGAGCCTGATGTGCTCGCATCTGGAAGGAGGGTGCCTGCTGCATCTCGGCAGAATTCATTGCTCTGGCCTTCCAATCAGCTTCGCAAGGGGCAGTAATTCTGCCAGTTCACAGCATCAGCTCTGAATGATTACTCACAATACATCCATGTGGCAGAGCTGTGCATCCTCCAAGTTGCCCGTGACAGATTTATACTCCTCACTGCTCTGGGCTTGTGTCCTTTTAATTATTCAGGACACACTTATGTGGGTGACTTATGCAGAAATGATCAGGCGGAAGAGTGGAATAGGGGTCGTTTGAGTGGGTAAATCTTTCATACCCCTTTCCCAAGGTTTTACTGTTAGGAAGTGAGTGTAAGGCATGCCTCAGCTATCAGATGCTTAGGGACCAGCACACAAGCTCCTTTCCACTAGGGCCCCCAGGTTCCACTTCTCCTGCAGAGGAAAAGGGCCAGGATTGTGCATATCAGATGACTTCCCTTCTGCAGGGCTCCTCCCATCACTTTCCAAACATGCATCTTTCCACCTTCAAACTCCAGCATCTCCCTGAAAATTCCGCATTTGATAATATATCCCTGCGGGTAAGCAAAATGAAGGAAATCCTTGCTGTGGTCATGGAACCTTTCTGAAGACAATTTTTTCCCCACGAAAACCTAACTCTATCCCTGATTTTGACTAAGCATTGGAACCCGTTTTTCCATATCTGTTGAAGGCCTTTGGCACAGCATAGTCGCAGTTACTTGCATAAAAGAACAAATGTAGTTCCAAATACAGGCATGCAAAGAAAGCCTCCTTCCATTGGCTAATGTTCTGTATTTATTTTTGCAACTGCTGATTAGTGCTCTAACCCTTTATCTCAATAGACAGTTGGAGCTGTTTATATGTATTGATTCAATTATATTTGCAAGTTGCAAAGGAACAGAAAGCTAATGTATTAATTCAAGTTGTGCTAAATGACTGAGTTAAGTCATAAACAGTGGTGGGCATTTCAATTCCCAGCATAAACATGAGAAACCTCAGTTTTGTCAGACCAAAATACATTGCCAAACCATGGTTTAATGTCATAAGAGCATGTTATAGAAAGCCATAGTCTCCCATTCCAGGTGCATATCAAAGTCAACCATAATTGGAATAGTCAATGTGGCTTTTCAGAACAAAGAATTGAAAATCATTTCAGAAGTTAGAAGAGTTTCTAAGCACAGTCCTCAAGTAAAAAGAACATTTATTAAGAAATCTAAAAGTAGCAGTTGGAGCAGTGTCAACAAACATACAGAAAAAAATATTTACAGGGACAGACAAACAATGATAAAAAGGGTTACTGAAAGCAGTTGGAAATCATTTGCCTTCTAAAGTGGTCACAATGTATTTTTGATAAGATGGACTGAGATGCAAAAGAACATTGTTTTCAAGTTAAAATAGTTCATCCTCTGACTCCTCCAGGTACTGGACTGGCTTCCTGGCTTGACCCACCCTTTCACGGGGTTCAGGGGAGTTCCTTTCGAAGGAAAACAAGTCATCTAACTTCTTGGATTTCTGCAAAGAGAAAAGGGGATGGGACTGGTAAACTCACAGGAAACATTCGAATGCTAACTCCAGAATTCATACATTACATTTTGTGGGAGTTAGTGTAGAGAGCCTGGGGGGGTGATACTTCCTTCGAGGGAGTGTGGGGATGATCCTAAGATTTGGCCTCACCTACTGCCACTCCACACACAGCCGCAAATATACAGTCTACATGTGACACTCTGACTACCCTGCAAACTGCAGCACTAAGTACTCTAAAACGGAGTTATAAACATGGGAGGGGCCAATTTCTTCTTTCTAGACTATCAGCGGACTCTGCAAGCGAAGTGTTGAAACGGGGGAGGACGCTGAGAAGTGTCAGTTCAACACATAATATTAAGATTAGATTACTAAGCGGGAGATATTGTCCTTCTGCTTTTGGTGCATTTTCTTTTGGAGCTTTCCCCTTTTTTCAGTTGGTCCCTAGAAACTGTTTGTAAATTAGCTTATATAGAGTCTCGCCGTGTCAGTTCCCATGTATGTGATGCTACTTACTCACTGTGCTTCTTTGGGCAGCTGAAACATATATTTACATTAACCAGGCAAGTATACACACACTGGGCACTTGTAAGAGTACACTTGTGAAAGATCAGCAACAACAATTTTAAAACTTACGAACATATTTGGGCATTTTTCTGGGACTTAAAGAAAAGGAGGCAGTGATGGTTGCTCTACTGTTTGGGTATCAGTGGAGGGGCTGCGATTGTGGCAAGGGTGAAATTGGGAACAGTGGCAGGCAGGTTTGCTTTTACTGAATGGTTTGCTAGCTAATCCTCTTGTGGGTTCACACAACATGACTACCCATCATTACACAATGATTACACAATCCCTAGAACAAGTCATGCATTGTCACAGTGGCATGCTGCTGAAAAATAAACCATCCTCTGGGAAGCATTCTGAGTTCAGACTATGCAAAAAACCACTGTGGCTAGCTACCCATGAGGGATCGTCACATCATGCAAACAGAGTGTTAAAAACAGACATTAAAATTGGCAATTTTCTTCTTGCCCCCCACCTTTCTGGATTTGCCAGCTCCCCCTCCTTCTCTGCCCCATTGCGAGAACAAGAATGACATAGTGAGAGGCAGGCAATGCAAGTCTGGAGGCTCAACCAGGGGACATGGCAGGCAAAGCATCTTTCAAAGGATACTATGCTTCTCTAGTCACCATGAACTATAGTCATATAATCATAAAATAGTAGAGTTGGAAGGTGCCAAGAAGGCCACTGAGTCCAAGTCCTGCTCAGTGCAGGACTCCAGGTTACACCATCCCTCTCAGATGGCTGTCCAGTTGCATCCTGAATGCCGCTAGTGCGGGAGAGCCCACAACCAACCTAGGTCACTGGTTCCATTACCAGGACTGCCCACTAATATTGTTCATCATCTACTGAGGTGGGTGGAGTGGGAAAACTGGACGCTGGCACAATGACAGAGCAGCAGAATCCATATACTGGACTGAAAGGCACCACTTGCTGGGAAGCAGCAGTTCTCCATCCTTGCTCTATGAAGCAACTGAGGAGGTATGAGATACAAGGCAGACAGAATGGCTGTAGAGCACTCCGTAAACTCCATGGCTTATCTAAAAGCCTATCTGACATTCTATTAAGGAGTTGATCTCCTTACAGAGTACTGGGTGATGTTAACTGAGGGGGAACTCATGTCACTCACATACACAGATGTTCAATTTTAAACGGGAGCGCCTCAATCTTGCAAAATTATTTCAGTGCGCCCAAGTGTGTGTGATAGAACTGTGGGCACAGTGGAGTAAGCTGGGCAGAGTCCTTTAAGATTACTTTTCACCATGCAAAATTACAAGTTAAAATATAACAGTAGCAAGCAAACCTTAAGCGCTGCTGGTTTTTCCACTGATTGGCCAAAGTCAGAATCAGAGTCCAAAGAATCAGAGGAGGAGGAGGAGGAAGGCTTTCTTTTAGCAGGCTTCCTTTTCTTGGCAGGTACAGGCTTTTTGGAGGCTGCCCCATCTGCACTGGAGTGAGAACTCTTGCTGGGCTTTTCATCGGTCTTTTTCTTAGAAAAGGCATCCATAATAGAAGGCTGATTGCCTAAGAAGAAAATTAATTTATTAGATCTTGATGTCAATAGTCCTGTTTGTGTCTTTCTAGCAAGAAGCTGCAAGAACATTTTCAAGTTGCTACTTCAGAAACTTATTGTGGTCATTGTCAAGGCAAGTGTTAATTACTTGCAAAGAATTAAACTGCAGTTGAACAAACTGAATCATAACCTGCATGAAATGGAACTGCAAGGGAGAAAAGCATTACTCTCCGACTTCATTAAGTGACAGTCATAGCCAGTCATTTTAAAAAGTGCTGGAAAATGGACTATCAAGTTGCAAGAGAGAACTCAGTGGTTGGGTTCACATGACACAGCAAACAACCTCACACAGTTTCCATGGCATGCAGAATCTTGCTTGAACTCACTGATCACATGACAATCACATGGTTACCCAGGCAGCTCGGTTTCCATGCTGCTCCCCACGTTGTCCTCCCAACCCTACAGCCTCCACAAGCAAAATTCCAGTCCTTATGGACTGCAGCAGCCTCCGCCTGATTGGACTGCTGCAGTCCTGAGGCGGATTCCCCTCTCCCAAGTGTATTTGCAAATCTGCAGTGCTTTCCAGCTGCTCCAGAGATTTTTATTAAATGAAAATAAATAGTTTTGCTCCAATTCTCCCTTCTCTCTTTGGGTATTTTCGCACAGTCCCCCTGCTTCCAAAAGTAAACAGGGAGATGGAACATTATTCAGTCAATGCAAATAAAGCAAGAAATGATGCATCTTCTGCTAAGCAGCTGAGAGCAGTAGAGATCTTGGGTCTGGATGACCAGAGAAACCACAAGTGGTTGCTTATCTCTGTGTTTTCAGAACAAACTAAATCTTGTCATGCAGGAATTTTGGAAATGGGTCTGGATGACACAACAGATTCACATCAGTAACATGTCATATTGTGTGAACCTGCCGTGTGTGTGCGTGTGCGCGCGCACAATGCCACCTCATGTGTGAACAACCACCTCCCCTGTCAGGAAATGAACTGAATGGGAAGAGCCGCGGCGCACAGCATCAAGGCAAAGATCCTGGCCACATATTTCTTGCCTTTCCTGCTGGGTGGCAGGTGAATGATTCCTTCATACCACAGAGTAAGCCAGCACCAAGTAATGTTATTGGATACCTACCTCTAAAGCCCACAAACATCTACAATAATGTTACCTTTAGCTGTGCTTGTTTTTTTGGTGGGAGCTCTCTTTTTAGGAGCAGGCTTAACTGGGACATCAATAGCTGCAGCTGGTTTGGCTTCATCACAGTCTTCAGCGGGAGCTTGAATAAAGAAAAGTGCCTGGTAAATCAACATATCCTAATTCTCAGTTTCAGTTACCAGTTGTATTTTCATTATTTATTTGATTTATATTCTGCAATTTCACCAAAAATTGTGTCCAAGGGGGGCTAACAACAATAAAATCAGGATTAAAACAAACACAATAAAAATTAAAGTTTACTGAAGTAACAATAAAAATAACCAGCTCCCAACAGAATAACCCCACCCCACTTCAGCAATAAAGCCTGCCTTGTGGGTGAGCATCTTCACCTTCTGACAACCTAGTTAAAGCCCACCCAGCCTCCCTTTGCAGGGACTTCCAGAAGCTGGGAGTCGCCACTCAGAAGTCCTTCTCTTGATTCCTCTGAGGCTGGCAGAACTGAGAGACAGGCCATTATGACCTAAAACAATCTTTGAGACAGTCTGCATAGGGCTGTAGTTCCAGTCTGTATAGGGTTTTAGAGCTCATGACCAGCACTCTGAACTGTGCTCAGAAAAAAAAAAAGCAAATTGTTTTAAAGGGGAAATCACATGTCCCCTATAACCAGCTGTTGCCAACAGTCTGGCCATTGCATGCTGATGCAGTTAATGTTTACCAGCACTTTTAAAGTAGCACACATAGAACTCATTGCAGTAGTCCAAACAATACGTTGACACATGTGTGTCACCATGGCTGGAACAGGCAAAGTAGAGAGGGGTTAACAATGAGATGAAGAAGTGAACAGGTCTCATGAGGCACAAGAGAAGGAGAATATATAGAATAATGAAGAACAGTCACCACTGTCCAATGCAAGCTTGTAGCTACGGCCTGCCTGCATAGCATTACACCGAACTAGCGTGTCGAGTCACCTTCGCTGAACTGGAAAGGCACAGCCCTGCAGCTGGATGGATGACATGTGGAAGTGGAGCAGGAGGTTGGACTCAAGGGCCTTATGGGCTCCTTCCAGCTTTTACTCTATTCCACAGATTGTTATAAGCATGCAATGCAAATAGTTAACACATTGCAATATGCAAAACTGTCAAGCCTCAAAAAACTTGATAGATGGAACAAACAGGGAAATGGAGCAGTTAAAAATAGAGGCGGGTCACTGAAATGCTACCCCCTTTTGTTTTATACTCATGTGTCCCCTTTATGTTTATATCAACTCAAAACGGTCCCGTGGTCTTCCCTCTTGGGATTTGAATTGTACATGCCTTTACAAAAGCTCTAAGCACAATTGCCAAATGCTCCAAACAAAGTAACAATATATACACCTCTAGAATCCAGGAATCCCTTTGTTTATGGAACTTATAAAGCAAAGAGACAATGTAGGGAAGTTCCACTACTGACCTAAATAAAAAAAATTTAATACTTTTGTCTGCTCTTGACAGTTCGTTTGTCTGCAGACCAATTTCCTGGTTATTATTAAAGCTTCACTATCTCGTGTTAAGAGTGTTAACAATGACCAGTGCTCGCAGGAAACATTATAGAAGTCCAGGACTGCAGTGATTTGGCAGCATTATCCCCCCTCCCCACAAAACCATAGCAGAAATTTTGGCGTTTAATTTTAGTTTTTCTTGCAGAAGAAATGGGAGGGGCTGTTTCCAGAGGTAGGCAGGTGATGAGGAGTCAGCTTTGAACTTATAAGCAAATGGCTCCTGCACTATGTGAGGAGGAAGAAACTCTTAAATAAAACGGAATGACAGTATATAGCATGGGTCCTCGAACTATGGCCCGTGGGACAGATCCGGCCTGCCGTGGCCATCCACCCGGCCAGCGCCGCTGCCCGCACACTTGCTGCATGGGCGGGGAGGCGGTGGCTCGCTCACTTGGAGAGGGTCTAGGACTGGCTCGATCTCTGAGCAAGCGAGCCACGGTTGGCCACGCCTGATGCCACCTTGCATGCGCCCGACGGCACCTCACCGGCCTGCGCCCCCAGGCACCCCCACCTCACCAGCCCGCAATGGTCACCACAGCCTTTCAACTGTCCCCCTACTGAAAAAGTTTCAGGGCCGCTGGGAAATAACAAAGTTTCAATGTGCTCCAGTGTTTCCCATACTACGTTTCACATAACCTGGCGTGGCAAGCAATGTGAATGTGTGTTCCATCAGAAAATTTCAAGACTAACAATATTTTCTCCTCTAAAATAAGGTTAAAATTATATATGAAGCGAAAGTACTGAGGTTGAATAGTACTTAGAGAGGGAGGGAGCTATTGTGATGCAGCCACCGTGACATCTCATTTGCCACCTGCATGCTGGAACCGTTTAGGAAGATGGGGTGCGGGGTGCCCCCCCCCCCCCCCCGGGAATGCCATGGCCCTACCAGAGCACAGCATTTGTAGCACATCTCTGCTGGACTGGTAATTAGAGCCAGGACTCAGCAAAGAGAATGACAGCGAGCAGAGACTGGAGCCAAGCCTATCTATTTCGTAAGTGGCCTGCAGCAGGTCCTGAGTAGAGAGAGAAAATGTGCGTGCATTTATGTTTTTGTTCCTGAATTTGGCGGGAGGGGGAAGGAACTTGAAAACCTAGCAATTAACTTGAATACATCAGGACCTTCATCAGCCAAATACAACAGACAGAAAGTATGTTTTTCAATTTGTTATCGACAAGTCTAAGCTCCACAAACTAATTTTAAAGGATTGGATGCAGATTTGGGCTTCATAAATTAATTTTTGGGACTTGGATGCACTCCAGGCCTTGTAAATTAATGCTCTGTGCTCTAGGCTCTGTAAAATAATGTTATGGCTTGTGTATAATGCTAGGTTCTGCTGGGAAGGATCTGTGGCTCAGTGGGAAAGCACATATTTTACACAAAGAAAATGCAAAATTAAATCCCCAAGCAACTCAAGATAGAGCTGGAAAATTTCTGACCTGAACCCTGAAGAACAATACTGTGTCAGAAATAATGGGCTAGATGGATCACTGGTCTGAGACCAAGGCAGTTTCCTGTGTTTCTGAATTATATTTTTGGAGATTAGTGGTAGATTTAGGCTCTGCAAATTAATTTTAGAGCTCCTATCAGAAATACAGTGGTTCATTCAGGACATGCCTTTGCTCTGCTCCCATTACTTGGTCTTTGTAAAATATGATATTCCTCCAAAATTAACTTTAAAATCAGATGTGTTTTTGTACATTATATGCAGCACACACATTACCACCCACTAATTTCCTCAATTTTGCCCCAGAGATTCCCTATCCAACCCTTTCCCATACTAGAAGTATTCTATAGGCCTCAGATGAGCATTTGTGAAAACATTTCAAACTCCCAAGGGTTTAATTGCAAATTCATTGGGAATTGCTGATATATTTCATTAGTATTAACCACACATTGATGGGGTAGGTGTACTGAGGCTCCAAACAGTGCCTTCTCACAACGATCCGATAACAGGCAAGCGTGTTACACTCTTGTCATTCTATCAAAGTCAACTGACTGGCTTAACAACATGAAAAGTGTCTGAACACAGGACAGCATCTGACTGCATTAAAGTTAGGCAAAGGGTCACAGATGGGAATATCATTTGGCTTTAACAGATTAAACTGGGATGCCATTAACTGAATGGAATTCTTACCTGAGACAGTAGCCTGTACCTCTGGAGGTTTGAATTCTTTTCTTTTCTGTCCCTTGGCTTTCCTAGAAGAGAGGAGAACCAACAACCTGGAATACATTTTCCTCATTTTAATGGGTTTGTCCTATATGCTATAAATATATTCATGCAAAATAGAAAAACCCAAGATTCTATGTAGCTGAACATTCAACTCTTTGTGGAATATTTGGTAAAAGAAACAGTTCTCGCCATAGAAAACAGACACGGGATATTGACAGCCATATAGCTGAGAAATTAGGATAACAAAACAATACAGAGTTGAATCCATTATATTCAAAATCAGAAGAGCAAAATTCTTTGAGACCAGAACTGATAGCATGTGGACTTCCAAGCTGTACAGAACTATTTTCAGTGGATGGTAGGAAAGATTCGGGATGCAAGAGTGGAAGTCTATATATGCCTTGCATGAAGGAGATTCCAGGTTAAATTCTTGGGATCTCCTGCTTAAAATTTGCTGTGGTGTGGAGGACTGGATACAAAGCAGCTTTCAATAATTTAAGGGAAAAAGATGTTTCTGGTGTTGAACCAACATTATGCTCTACACCAAGAACACCTTTTTTATTTGCTTTTGTGTTTTACTGTGTCATACCACATGAAAAATTTTGTACAACTCCAACGCTATATACCGCTGTGTCATTTTCTGGTTAACCTTGTGAAAAATATTTGCCTCAGAATTCTCTATGCCTGGCAGGTTTCCTGCACAAATCTGCATTACGGAATTACTTGCAGGCACTCATCCACAACAGTCACTTTGCCTTCCATGTGTTTATCATGAATGGCAATAATGTCCTAAACTACGATTTTCAGAAAAGCATGTGGATTATTTAGCTATATTTCAATATTAAGTGTAAATCAGTTGGATTCTAGCAGAAGCATTTGCGCTGATAGGCTGTGACTTTAGATTGAAAGTCAAGCAACTTCACTGCATACAAGAGGAAAAGATGAATTTTTCCCAGCTGAACTCAGTGTTTCAGATAAGAACACTGGGAAGAAAGAATAACTGCTGACTGGGCTACTGCTCACTTGTCCTGGTTATGATGCAAATGACATAAACAGAACTAAAAAATAGAACTGAACTACTTCACAAATGTAAAGTAGTAAACCTGCTGGAGAGAAGCAAGTGCTATCCTTTTAGGGAACTTAAAGAAATCTGCTCAGAAATGCAAGCAATGATACAAAGTAAAACATAGCTAGGAACTTTGGAAAATATTGACAAATTGTTAGGGACAAAAACTTGCTTTGTGGGAATATATGAAAGTAGTGCTAATAAGAAATCAAGTAAATAAGCAGGGAAAATACAGGGACTTGAGAACCAGACACTGGTTCTTATCAAGACAGAACACCAGACGCTGCTTTCCTACAAACTCAGTAATGCCATGGAGGCATGGTGCTTCATTACTTTAAAGGTAATGCTCTTAAAACTAAATTTGAATCGTTTTAAAAATCTGTTTTGTTTGTAACAGTTATTTATTTTGTCTAAGTTCTATGCACGGACAGCCAATATAAATCATGTAGAAACTGCTTAAGATTTCAAAAATAAAGAGGACGCCTAATTTCAGTGTGTATACCAGGCTTGATACCAGGCTTTTTATAAAATCAGAAATTCCACAGTGATGCTTTGTTCCTGGAATATGGCACGGGATAAATTATCTGCATATATATATGATCTAGCAAAATAATTATAATATCCTCAGCCAAGGAGAAATCTGTCACTCAAAAGGTAGCTTGCTGTCCTATTCAGACATTTTTCAAACAGTCTAACTTAGCTACTTATTTGGGCATATTTCAGGCACTCACTCAGAAACAGCCTTTGGCTTTGCAGCTGGGACCTCGACACCTCCATCAGATACAGCGTCCTCATCCATTTCATTCTGAGCACAGTGAAGCACACTACCGTCTGAATTGGAATCAGAATCCAGCACATAATTGGCTTTTGCTGAAAGAAGCAGAATACAAACATTGGCTAAAGGAAGAAATGTGGGAATGCAATGCAATGCAACGCAACGCAACGCAACGCAACGCAACAACATAATCATACTCAGAAATTGGTTTCACTGTGCTTAATACAATTACTCCAAGGTGTCACATTATTATGAGAAATAGTTAACTGCTTTAGCTTCCTTTACAAAGTCTCTAAATTCATTTAAAGATTTTATTATGCCAGAAGTGTTTAAACAAATACAAATGCAATATTAAGGATTTCATGTTTAACTCTTTATAAATGTACCTGTTACTTGCCGACGTGGAAGATGTGTGCGAGGTTCAACCTCTATATCATCATCAACTTCATCATCATCTTCTGATTCAGAGTCAGACCAAGAAGATTTTTTCATTGTTTTTTTTACTGGCTTGAATGGCAACAAAGTTTGTTTCTTGCTGTCTGCTAAATTGTAAAGCCGCACATGATACATTGAAGAGAAAAATTAAAATAACGAGAATACAGTACTTAGACCCCAGAAGTGCATTCTACCTGTTTGCAATTCCCCACTGCATATAGGACTATATCCAGGACATGTGGCTGCATTTTTAAAAATTAAAACAGTGTCCCCATTAAGGCAAAATGCACCAAAGAACACACACTTTGGTCCAAATTTTACCTGGCTCCACTTTCAGTTTCTTTGCCAATCTTTCTTTAAGACTCTTTGGTTCCTTATCACACCCTGGTGAATCTTTTTCTTGATTCTCATTAAGTTCAGTTTTTTCAGTCTACAGATAAATAAGAATAAATAAGATAAATGAGAATTGGGCACTACAAAATGGATAAAAATCCAAAGATAATGTATCAGAAAACAAAGGAAAATGGACCCAGTGAAAGAATGGGACTTTGCTAAACATTGGCTGTTGTATCCCGGCAAGAAAGTCTTTTGAACTATTTGGCAGTTTATGAATATAATAATACAATAAAAGTCTTGTTGCATTCAGCAGTTCTCCTTCTAAGTTTGACTAAATTCAGATCCAACCACGTATACATACTTTAAAATACACACACAATCTAAAACACTCAAACTTTCCTATTTTACCTTGATCTTTCTTTTTAATTTCTTCTCTGCTTCGACTTTCATCTCTTCTGTCACTCGGGGTATGACCCGTCTGCCATGTGGAGAGGGCATGATTTCCTGTAGCTTCTTTACTTTTGGTTTTCCCCCTTTCCCTTTGCCAGCTTTGCCAGTGGGTGCCAATAGTTCATCCTGCCTTTCTTTTTCTTCTACATCCTAGAGGACAGTAGACCAAAGTGAGCTGAGGAACTTCCCTAAGTGCAATAGCAGCACTTACTAGCACAGGCCAGAAGGCAACTGCCCCTAGCATTCATGTGCATCTTTCAGAGTTTTATGCTTTGGAACACATTAAGAGTACCATGTCACAGTCAGACCTCTTCACAATCTTCCTGCCCTATTACGAACACTTATGTCATACCCAATAAGGAGAGAATCATATGACCAATCAATACATGTTGAAAACAGATTAACTGGCCAGAAATCCAGAGCATTTCTCAAAGGGTGACTTACTTCAAGAGTCTCAACAAAGACTGCAAGATCTTCTTTCCACAAATCTTCAGGTTTCTTCTTTTTCAGGTTTTTTAGTTCAGATACCTAATACAGACCAGTAAAAAATAGTTAACTCTGTGCCTGAGCGTTCAACATTACCAACCCTCAAGCTTTTCTAGAACAGTTCATCTACCTACTTTGTCATCCCGTTGCTTGCATAGTTCATCCTTTTTTTCCTTTGTTAGATACCAAAGAGGCATGTTCAGAAGGTAGTTAAAATCTGGCCCACTGACTGCAGCAGATTCATTTTCCTTATCACTGTCCTCCTCTTGATTTATGTCTTCATTATTGCTCTGGAGTGGAGAAAGTTCATCATCCATTAATAGCTGCTGCGGCTGTTCAGTATCTACAATGCAACCCATCCTTTCAAACTAATGAGGTGGTTGCCTAGTCCCTTCCTGATGCTTTTCTTTGGATTTAGGAAAGTGGTGATGACAGTAGATCCTGGTGCTCATTATTTGTTCCCCACAGGGTGATGCTGAGCATAGGGGCCTTTATTACTTCCCTTGACATGAGATAGTGAGAGAGAGAGAGAAGCTGCCATCATGTCAAGTTGTGCAAGCACCTTAGCATGCTAGTAGTCCTTAAGACATGATGAGATTTAGGATGAAGATCTATTTTTCAGCTCACTAGTTCAGAAGCCAATGTTATAGAGCAACTGAATTAATTAAAAGGAAGAGACTGAAGACGGCAATACCTTCTGTTGGGACTCCTTCCATTTCTTTACTGGATCAGAATCATAACCCCTCTGGATAAGGATCTGTATCAATTCTTTCTTGGGCTTGTTCTCTAGAAGTAACAAACATTTTCAGAGCACCATGAGAAATGAATCCAGAAGAAAAAGCAGCCAAAGTTAAAGTTCACACCAATTTAACGGTTTGGCTCTGTTAGGAACAACATACACACACAGCATTCTATGAACAGAAAAGCCAAATGCAAGATAGGTCAGATTACGAACGTAAGAAACAAGCTGAATCAGATGACAGGCCTAACTAGTCCAGCATTTTGTTCACGGAGTAGCCAACCAGATGCTTATAGGAAAACCATAAGCAGAATATGAATGCAATGGCACATGCTTCCCAGCTGGTATTCAGAGGCATACTATTGAAGGTAATATACAGCCATCATGAATAGTAACTGTCAAAAGCCCTATCCTCCATGAATTTGTCTCAGCCCCCTTTAAAGCCTCCCAAATTGATGGCCAGAAAGTGACATCCTACAGTTAAGAAAGAAATCTTAGGGTTGAAAATGGATAGCTTTATAAATCTGACTTAACATGTAGCAGCTGTAAGTAAGGCAAATTCTAAGTTGAGCACAATTAGAAAAGGAACTGAAATGAAAGCTGCCAATATCATACTGTCTTTATACAAATCCATGATGTGAACAAACATGGAATTGGATGTGGAACTTGGACTGCAATTCCCATCAACATTTGTCAACATGGCAAAGGTAAAGAATGAAGGCAGTTGCAGTTCAATACCAAGTTGCCCACTCAGGCTTATAGTAAACTCTGGCAATACTTACCAATCACTATTATGCCTTCTATTTTTTCTAGGATGAAGCGTGCCTGGTTGTTTAGTTTTGCAGACTCTGCTTCCAATACCCCAGTAAGCCAGTCTTTTCTTAAGGCATAGTAGCGCAGCCTGAGTTCAAAGAATTCCCGCAGAATCTCCTCTGTACTTTCATATTTCTTCAGGCAACCGACATGATCAAAGAGTACCTGGAGTAAACACCAAATATTCCAGAAGTGTAGCTTTCAGCTATCACCAAGTACAGGTAATTAAAGGTCAAATATTTCCTGAGGCTATTCAAAATGGAAAAATCTGCATAACAGCAGCAGAGACAGTAACCTTTTTCTGCTTAACAATGGCTTAGGCTACTAACTTTAAAAGATGATAAAGCATGACTTCAATAGATTTTCCTTGTTCACTGGAGGTTTTAGCTAAGAATCTTGGTTTTCAAATGAGCCCAGGGTGATCTGAAATGTTCCTTGATTATTTTTCTTAATGTTTCCAAATTTCCACTTACGATGTTTAAAAGGAAATGGGAACAAGAGCTTTGAACTGAGAAAAAATATGATGCTGTTGGAGTCTGACTCTAGTGCTGCAGTGGTCCTTCTAGTTCGAATGTCCCATGATCTAACCAGTAGTGGTTTGGAAGGGTTTGGGCCTATTCAACCTGTGAAATGACAAGAGTCAGTGTGTGTATCCTTCTCAGTATTTTCAGGGTGAAGCAGGTGGGAGGCAACTTACTTCCATTTAGCTGCTAGCTTTGGCAGGGAAGGAAGCTTGTATCCTTTCTGTGAGAACCTAAAAAAAGTTTTTGGAGTTGTCACAGAGGCTGAAGTATCTCTTGTGAAAGACAGAAGGCAAAATCATCCCTTTTAAACCAGTGCCCAGGCTGTGGCCTTTGCTAGGACTATTCTTGTCTGCCTGAAATCCTCCGCATTTGGAGTTACTACTATTTGATCCTCTTGAGACTTGCTTCACATGGATTCTCTTTCCAGTTTGGACTCTTGTCTCTTGAACTCTGTATTGTCAAGAACCTGCCATGAAAAGTGCTGCTATTCTTTTAATAGATTGTGATGTTCTGCTTGCAATGGATTGCTGAACCTCATTGATCATCAGATGGTTAAGACAGATTGTGACTCATTCTGTGCCTGAACACATGAAGAGTGGAGATGGCAAGGAGGAAGCCATGGGTGTCAAGTCTCTGCGCATGTAGATTCCTAACTCTTGAGCCTGTTTTGACTCTTGTATATGATAAGGCTTAGACTCATGTAAAGAGGCTCTAATGGAGATTTTAAAGTAGGGATATGCTTCTACATGTGTGGATTTGTTTGGGACTTTTTCTAGAACTCTTATCTTTGACCACCTGAGGAGACTCACCTCAAGAATAATTTAGCCACTTGGCCCATATGAAGCCATAGAGATTACAGCGGAGAAACTGGGTTATCTGGATCTCTGACAAGATTACAATTAATTAGCATTGGATAGTGGAATTACTTCAAGAGCTTCCAGCTAACTATTGGCAGCTATATGACTTGCAAACTCTGTAACCACTAGGATTTTACCATGGGGTTTGCTACTTAAAGTTCTCACTGATTTGACATGTCTTGTGTCAGAAATCCAGCTTGTTTGCTTGAAAGACTGGGCCTGTGGCAAATACTTTCCCACTTTGCACTAGCAAATATTGAAAGTTTTTGTAAGTTTAATTTAGAGTTGACATTTTAGTCATTTAGGGTTGAAAATGTACTTGATATTATATTTTAAGTATATATCAACATCAGTGGAAATGCACAGTATAGGAAAATGGATCTGCCTTACATTGATATGTTACCTTATCAAGCAAAACTAACTAGTTGATTTGGATATAGAACTTTAAGTTGATTGTACTGTAATACTGAATTTTTCTGGTGGGTAATTTACTAGCAGTTGCACAAAGAGGCAAACAGTTGTTACAATACTTTTAAGATTATTACATACCTTATGTGCTGAAACATTAAACTGAAAAAAACACTAGACAAAAAGTACCAATCTTAGTTTAAGCATTAATGATGTGGATATGTTAATAGGGATTCTTTCTTTTCTAAAACATTTAAAATATGTGGACCATATTTAATTTCTTTTATTAAATTTCTACACTGTTGAATAGCTAAATATAGAAAAATACAATAATTTTGAAAATAAATTAAGTATTATTGACTCAGAGGATCAGACATTCCTTCCACTGAGCAAGAACGACACTTCAGGCTTTTTGCTTACCATATTGTTGCAGGAAAGGGAAGTCTGTATTTTGAAGACCTTGTGTAGACCCGCAGCCTCTGCTTCCACAAGCTTTTGTTCACTCATCTTTACTATGAATTTGACTGTAGTATCTGTGTGGTATTCTTTATAGTCTGTTATCAGAGGGGGAGTCTTTTCTGTACCATTCAGCATAGGCTCTAGCACCTGTTCTTTATAAACCTGAGGAAAAAGTCATAAGCATAGTGATTTTATTTTTCACCAGAAATGCTAAAAAATATATTATTAACTGCAGTGTGAACATAAGCATATCATACCTGTGTCCATGTCCGAACAGGAAGCTCAGAAATTTCAATGGTGGTTGAATCAATTATAGACACCTCCCCATTGACAAGGTACTGGTTTTGTCCCAGCGCATCTATCGTCCCCTTGAAATTCTTATAACTAGGAATCTAAAATACACGATGGAAATAAGTTGCGCAGTGCACAAACTACAAGTGAATTCGTTAACAACTTCTGTAAATGCTTTTACAATATTGACTGGCCCAGGGTAGTCAAGGACATCACATGGAGGTGATGTACCCGTATAGGTAGAAAAGGAAAAAGACTGGACTTCATGGGGATAACCCAGGGAATAGTAAAAGTGCGTAAGTAAGGGTTATTCATTTTAAATGTTTAAGTTTTTCTTAGTAGACTGTGTATTAAAGCCCCCTTCACCTTCAGGATTAACCATCCAACTTCTATTGTTATTATTACATTGCATTTATATCCCAACTTTTTTCTTCTTGCTGGAAACTCAGGGTAGTTTACATAGCTCCAAATATCCTCACAGCAACACCCAGTGAGGTAGGTTGGACTGAAGAACTCTTACAGCTTTTAATACTGAGGCAGCAAACAACATGGTAGAAAGCAAATTTTTGTCTTTGCCTGTACTGCTGCCTCCAAACATTAGTTCTTCTAAAAACAGTGAAACCTTATTCTGATGCTAATGTATTTTAATCACCATGGGTAATGGTTCATCTCCATCCAGCATGCGCCGTATGTTATTCACCACTTCTCGGATATCATAATTGGGAACCTTGCTTGACCAGCCAGTTCCAATGCCCTCAGCACCGTTGATCAGCACCATAGGAATAATTGGGATGTACCATTCTGGTTCTACTCGTTGGTTGTCATCAAACAGAAATTTCAGCACATTGTCATCGACTGCTGGGAAAAGCAACCTTGCCAAAGGACTAGAAAAGAAAGTGGTGTGGGCTTAAGTTGTTCTACATGCAAGGCATAGAAATGTTGTTATAATAATAATAATAATAATAATAATAATAATAATAATAATAAGGAAAGCAGGACTTAAAAATATTTTAAAGCTGCTGTTATAGCTTTCAAAACAATAATCATCTAACCAATTCCAAGAAAAAGACAGCAAACTGCTACTAACCTGAGCATTGTAAAAATGTATCGAGGGCTGGCGGAGTCTTTCCCACCATGGAGTCTGGTGCCAAACTGACCAATAGGCTGAAGCAGATTAAGGTTGTTGCTACCCACAAAATTTTGAGCCAAATTGATAATAGTCATCATCAGCGAGGTCTAAAGCAGAAGTACAATTCCAAATTGTGAACATTTTTCTCTTTGAAGAAGCACAGGCAAAATACCACAGAAGTGGGCCACAGCGAAGACATAATGAGTATTCCAATACAAAGAAATCCGTAAGAAATGGCAAGGGGGAGTTTTGCTTACTTCTGTCTCTTTTCTAGAGGGAAATCCACTCAGACTGTTAGCCAGTTACTCTGTGGTTGCAGAAATGAGAGGAACGGTATTTGAATATCAAGATCAATCCCTGACTAGAGGTTGAAAAATTATTCCTTCCCTTCCAGAAAAAAGACTTTGTTTGGGGGATTTTTTTGCTTATTTAATGTACTGTTTTAAATATTTATGCATGCCACTCAGATTCTCTGGAATAAAACAGGTTATAATGTGAATCAATCACTAACTCAGTTAATTCCATTAGAATACTAAAATCACATCAAAGTCAAGTCAGGATGACAACAGGTGCTCTTTATTTGCTAGTCAATCTTGGAAGCTGTACATTGAATACTTGCTGTTTTTTGGCCTTGGGTCCTCACCCCGCCCCCCCTTACCTCTCCATGGTGATAAGAGGACATCTCAGCCACTGACCCAGCCAACTGGGCAACCTTCACATCTCGCTTGTCATTTCTTTTGAAACAGGTGAACAGAACTTTCCTCTGACCCGGTTTCAGTCCTAAAAGAATGGAAGACAAGTTACTCTAAGTCAAGACATAGGCTTCTTTCCTCCCATAACCAGCACATCTCAAATAAGGAAATAAAAACTATTGTAAGTCGAAGCATAGCAGGATTTGTTGTTGTGCTCCGTTTGAGACAGTAGCTGAAACTATGGCTACATAAGAACTGCCCCACTATCTTCTCTCCGGTGAGCAGAACAAGAGAATGGACTTCTGATTTAAAAGCAACCACCAAGCTAGATAAACTACTGCCACTTACAGGTAAATCAGATAGCGTTCCAAGCTGGACTCTCCTTTTGGCTAGGTACTGGTTGTGCTTCAGAGATTTGGGGCGGGGGGTGGGGTGGACATGGCAAAGAGAAACTTCACCAGAACTCAACCTAATCACCCTTGCCTTTGCAGCTTCATTGAAGCAGCTGCACCTAAGGTGTATTGCCCAACTGCAGCTCACTTCATGCAGTTCTTAAGTTTCCATTTGGTTCCCATATAAATACATTTTATTTTGTCTTCCTCCAGGTGCCAGTAATTCTCAAAGGTAATAAAGAAATTAGAACTGGCCAATATTTTTAAAATAAATCAGATTCATATATTCACCCAGAAATGAAGGTGGTGCAGATGAGACGGCTGGGTTTGCATGCATTTGAATGACTAGAACATTGGTTTGAGCTCAGACCGAAGTATCTATTGCTCTTCCTTACCCACAATTGGAGCCACATTACAATTACTTTATTTATGGTTATTTATAAAGATGGGGGATGGGGAATGAGATTCCTGTGTGCCTGACGAGCTAACTTTCATTCCTGTCCTGGTCAGCTGCTAAATTGCCTTCAAACTCAACATGTTCAGGAACACAACAAAAAGTGTTCTCTTCTCACAGAAGAGCCTCCAACTGAGGAAAAGATAGCATGCAAGAAGGGTGAGATGAAGCTGAATGAAACAAAAAATTGTTTGACAAGGAAGGAATTGTTGCAGAAAGCACAACACAGAAATTTTTCAACATTCAGAAGCAAACTGTGCTTCCTTACAAGTTTGGCATTTATGGACAAATGCCCCTTGCACTTGGAACCACATTAACACCTGCAGCGTGATTGTTGTTGAACAACTTCAATACAATTGTTAGTACCAGTTCTGGTCTTCCAGAGCCTGTGGAGGCTGGGCAGGTAAATGACAACTGAGTGCAACTGGAAAGAGAGATATCCTTTGCTGTACAAAGGGTAATGAGAGTAATAGAGCTGTCATCTTCACATAACTGAAGAGCTTAAATTGTTTTGACTGTATTAATGTTTGAGCTGTTTTTACTATGGATGTGCTTTAAGTTGTGATTTTTTTTAAAAAATATGCAAGCCACTTTGGATACTTTAATAAATAAGAAATTGCTTCCCTCTTGCTTCTCCCCATTGCAATACTTTGTTTATCCTCACGGTGCAAACAGGAAGTTATTTTCTTCCTACCGCAAGGGTTTAAGAGAGCAATTGTTGTCCTAGATTAATTATAGTTAATCAACCAATGCACAATACAAAATCAGTTTATTTATTACACTCCTGCATCACCAATTAACTGAAGCTCTCTGAACTGTTTATAGGAAAAGGTAAAAAATTATCATATAAATATCATCGTAAACGGTGATATAAAAACCCTAGCTTTAATATAGATTCAAATGATACTCAGGCAATATGTTATGCATCATATAGTACTCCAGAAACAAACAAAATGACCACCAATAGCACATCTACTTTTTAAAGTGACAAATAATAGGTCTGAGAGTTATAACAATACTGGAAAATGTTGGCACTTGCTTAGTAATAAAGACGTTAATTTCCTCAAGAAACACACACAAGAGGATATCTGAAGATTGACTTGAAAAATCTCATTAAAAGGAAAAAACAGTGCAATGTACCTTGCCTTTTGTTTCTTCTAATATACTCATTCTGCTTCAGAAGTATAAAACAAAAAAATCTTACATCTATCACTATTAGAGAACTTTTCTTGCTGCACTTGCCTTTCTTGGGGTCTAGGAATATAATGATGCATTGCATTGCATTGCAAATGGGGAAATTTGATTTAGACTTTTAAAGATGTATATGTAATAGACAACTTACCATCAACCAGTGATGGGATGGATCGTTCATTGTCAGAGTTTGAGAAGAGAACAAGTTCTTTATGGATGAAATCATTGTAGGTCAAATAACTTGTAGTTTTCCCATACAAGTAATGCTAAATGTGACAAAACAGTTTTAGGTTATGTTTTCAGAATAGCAGGTTTATACTTTCCGCCACTTCAGCAGCTTTGCTCATTCTAATCATTTGCTCCCATCAACAAGATAAAGAAAATGCTTTGATCATAAGCTTTCCTTATCTTCTCATTGGGAACTACACATAGCTAGACATGTTGCTGTTTCCCAGATGGACAGAGATCACTCAAGAGTAACTTCTAATTACTTGGAGCTGCTTCCACTAAGTTCTTGTGTTTGAGATGACCACAGATGGGAAAGCTTGGCTCAACAACTGTTTCAAACTTTCAACTAGATACCTGCTGCTAAACAAAATGATAAATTTGCATGTATAAACTCACAAACAAAGAGGGCACAGGAGGAATTATGTTCTAGTGAAACTCGAACCGTCTCCCTTCGCTTCCATTTTAATCATTAGCCCACAAAGTAAGTCTGTCCCACAGGACTGGACCATGGCACTGTAAACATAATGAAAATCACCTCAGCTCTTACTTGAAATAGGAGGAAAGCTCCCACTGGCAGTGCAGTGGTGCAAAGAAGTCACTGCTCCATTCTGTGACATTATACAAATGAGGTAACAACTTTGGGGCAAAAGTTCAATCCCACACTGCTTCTAATAAATTTGCCTGACAGAACCAAGCCCTATGGAAAAACATGAAGTTGCCTTATACCTGGTCAGACTATTAGTCTGTCTAGACCAGCATTGTCTACTATCCAGGGTCTTGGGAAAGGGTTTCTCACCTTTTATTTGAGATGCCAGCAATTGACCCTACAACCTTCTGCATGCAAGCCAGGCTGTCATTATAGTCCCTCCCCGAACCATTTCGTGCAAATCCTGAGCTGCTTCAAAGGCCACTTACCTCTGGAAGGCCATGCAACTTCCGCTGCCTTCTATTTTCCATGAAATTTGTCAGCCATTCCTTTCGGTCATCAACCATTTTTTTGCTAAAGGCCTACAACATTAGAAAACAAACAGACAATTTACTCAGATAGCAGTATTCATCATTACACACATTCAGAACAATCACATGTATATATATTTAAGATACCAAATAAGACAGGAGGACCTTGACAAGCAGTTTAATGGTGCAATCCAATGCACTCTCTACATCATTGGGAGAGAGCATAGGAATATTGGGGTCCCTTCTGATCTGAGGAGCTGGGACTCTGTATTCAGAACCCTGTTGGAAAGAACTTTGCTGGCTGCATCTCCAAGGTTTGAAATTGACCTTGGAAAGGGGGAGATGGCTTGTGCCATATTCCAGTAGCATCCCAATGTCTCCTCTCCCCACAACCTGTTTCATGTAGACAACCAACATCAGAAGTCTAGATGGGTGCAGAGCACAGGGTGGCACAGATGACTAACACTATGTCTTGTACTGGATGCGTGTAAGCCTCAAGTGTGGACAACATAAGATTTTACCCTAAACTCATTTTAACATCCAGTAAATTATCTACAACTTTAAGCTGCCTAACTTAGAGCTTGTTTTTCAGAGAAAGGCAGTGCTCCAGAGTGAATCCTATACGTATAGTTCACTAAAAACATGAGAGTAACTCAAACTAGATTGTCGGACGGAATTTAAGTCACTGGACATTAGAAGTAAGGGACTAGGTCTCGGAACACTACAGACATCATGGAAAATTCCAGATATAAGAGGTCTGGCTATACCACAGCTTAAACTTCTCCAGTGTAGTTTGTTGGGCCTGTAATACATTTTATATTCAATGCCAACTTTTTAACTGCTTCTAAATTATAAGGAACTCCTGAGGGCAGGTATTTGAGGGCTATCCCATACCAAAAATACATTTATCAAGCTTTGTTGAGTTACATTCACCATATCTGACATAATACACTTTTGCTAGCTTCAGCCTTTGAAAAAGGGCAGCTCTACTGGGATCACATTAATTGACAAAACGTAATTGTTCATGCATAACCACTTTGCAGGTGCAATCCTCAAGCTGTGAAGGATTAGGAGCAGTTTCGCTACCAGAGTTATTGCAGCATCATCTTGAGGGCCAGAGTACTTGAAAGGTATTCGGTGTCTTGCCATCTCTGCAAAGTACTCTTTTGCTTCCTTTGATGTGCTTGTACCTAGACCTGTGGAAATAAGGTCAGACAGACAGAAATGAGGTACAACATTTTCTCTACTGAACGTATTGCAGCAAAATACATTTTACAAAAAGAACTCAACCAAAGACTGCAGTATTAGAGATGGAATTCCTGTTTTATGCTTAAGTGGTCTTATATGTAGACCCATATAACTGTTAGCTGACAAACCATTCAGTGTTATTTCCTTTGTATCATCTAGATTGGGATATGTCTGATATTAAAACTGTGCAACATCCTGATAAAGTACTGTACAGAGAAGGGGAAAGCAGTTCAGAACAATTTGCAACATTAGGATTCCATTTGGAAAAGGGTGGACAGTCTTTTGAGTGTAGGGCTATATTAGCAGCTGGAGAATTATCTGGAGGCCACAAAGGTAGGTGAAACTGGTAGTCAGGATATACACACAGTTTCTCCTAGCCCCACAGAAACTCTTCCTCAGAGATTGGTAGACAGTCTGAGGACTGACCCCCCTCTAAGCAATCTTGCCTGCACTGAAATTGTGGAGTGGGGTGTAAAGTCCATCTCAGCTACAATTCTGACCAAGATTGTCCCCCAGCTTACTGTGGCAGCTACATACAACCGTCAGTCTGTCAGGTAGGTGTGCCAGAGCTAAATGGAGCCTTGGGCTGTCCATCTGAAATGCTGAAGTATATTTAGTCTAAGCTTATCCTGGTTATCTCTGAGCTCACACATGGAAACATTAATATTCGCTAATTGCCCTCCTGCTTTAAAGTGAAGTCTAGTAACAAAAATGTATTCCCATACAGTACCTCACAATACTTCTAAAATAAGTTTGGTCTTTCATAAACGCTCAGGGTAACTGCATCCCATAATTACACAATAGCTATTGAGTGTCTGTGTGCCCTTGGAATCTTAAATTAGTTCATTAAATGTATACTATCACCCAACTTTGGCATTGCAATAGTTAAGTTAAATGTTCCAAGTTATTTTCATACAGCCTGGCCATGTGAATTGTGGAGCTCAATCCTTATTTTCCAGAGCATACATGTAATTTTTGTTTGTTTGTTTCCTGTGATACCCTATGAACTATCAAAAGTAGTACTATTCCAAATGCAATTGCATGTCATGCAATCAGCCACAACAGGCTGGTGGGCATAGGTTATTTCAAGAACAACCTATGATGCATCTGAGTTCTCTCCTTCCCTCCCCTAAAGTTCTCCTCTATGGAGGAGACAATTTGTCATCTTCTCCCTACTGCAAGTCGTTTATTGGCTTACTATAGCATTTCCCCCTTTTAATCTCCCCTGCTCCACTTTTTTTTTTTGGCAGGGGCTGTCCCTAGTTTGAGATACCATTTCTTTTTAACTTTTCTGTGCAGCAATTCTGCACAATTCTTTTCAGTAGGTGTATTTTATTTTTATAGCTGAATTTGCACAAGTGTGGAGGTGCCTATTTGTGGAGTCTGAAAAAGAGAAGCCTTGCTTTGGGCCCACTGCTCATAAAACAAACCATAGAATAGCTGACTAATTCTTGGGGTAGCTTGTTGGAGGAGGGAGCACACGCAGGAAACACTGTGGATAAAGCAAACTAGGTTCAGATGATGTAACAACCAATCATGGTTATTTACCCATGATGAGAAGTTCTGCCATATGGACCATGCCAGTTTTATTTTATTTTGATTCTGTCCTTGTCTGTGGGGAACCCAAACCTGCTTACCTAATCCCCTTCTCTATTTTATCAACAATACCAACCACCACCCAGTGAAAAAGGTTAGGCTGAGAGTCCATGACTGTCCTAAGGTCACCTAGGGAATTTCATGGCAGGGCCCCAAGAATGCAGATTTCTTGATATGACACTTTAACCACTATAGAACATTGGCTTCATCTGACAATACAATACAGGGGATCAGACAAACCTTTGTAGTACTTGATTTTCCAGCTTTTGTAGTTAGGATTGCTGGCTTTCCATTCTTCAAATTCAGGAATACTGTAGAAAGAAATCTCTTCTTTATTCTTGGAAACCTGGGTGAAATAAAAAGTTATTTTATTAATATCCTGCCTTTTTCATTTTAAGGAACTCAAGGTGGCTTACATAAAACTCTTCCTACCAATTATCCTCCCAAAAATTCTCCTTCTCTCCTTATCCTCACAACAACCCTCTGAAGTAGGTTGGGCTGAGAGTCTGTGACTGGCTTAAAGCCACTTGGTTAGTTCCATGGCTGAGTGGGAAATAGAACCCAGATTTCTTGAGGCCAGTCCCACCTCTTAGCTACTAAACCACAATGGCTCTCAAAAGGAGATGCAATTCCAATTTACAAAGTTTCAATTTGGGAATGTTTCAAACAGCTAACAATTAACAAAATATTTTAGGACAAATGGATTGCTCAGAAGAATAGTTACCTTTATGATGGGAGTAATGAACTCTTCCAGGAAATTGTGTCTCAGGAGAGATGGCCAGTTATGGTGTATGAAGTTAATCAACAAGCCTTTGATGTGGGAGCCATCTTGATCCTAAAAGAACATTTGGAAGGCAGATTTGACCTTTGTTGCTGCTGAAGTATTACTGAGCATGTTCAAAGTCAAGAGTGTTCAGCACCCATGGATTCAAAGAGCAAGGCTAGTCAAAAACTATATGGCTTATATGGCTGCATGCTATCCTGCAGCCACAACAGTTGCTTTGTTACAAACCAATAATGAGATCAATTATGACTAAGTATTCTGTAGCAGTAGCCTTGGATACAAGTTCAACTATTGACTTACTGAGTGGCTTAGACAAGGACCCTCTTTTAAACCTCATTTCTTTACTTTTAAGACAAACAAAGTAGTGATCTATTCAAACGTTTTTGTGAAGCCAAACAAGATCATAAAGCATTTTATACACAAGGATAAATAATCAAGAAGTCACACATATGAATATTCCAGTTAAAATCAGAAGGCTGTGGATGTAAAATAAAAATAAGACAGATGCACATGGCTAACAGAGAAAAGTTAACACTAGTGTAGCTGTTTGTCTGTGGCTTTTATAGACCATTGGATTAGGTACATCTCTCAGTATGGAGAAAAATTTAAAAATCTAAAAAAACATACTATACATACAATATATCACAAAGCTGTTACCACATAGTTGTACCCCCCGCCTCCCCAGTTTATCACTGCTTCACGAATATTTATTGCTGTATTCCTAGAAAGATGGTAACTTTTTTAAAGGTTAAACTAGTAAATGAGAGATTAAATATACAACACCAGGACCCAAGGTGGTGGTTGGGTAGACTGCATGATCAGCATACAACCATGGCATTAAAAAGCCTTTAGAACTAGCCCAGAACAATCAGTTAGTAGAGAATGCAGCCACCCACAAGTATGAAAAGGATTATGAAATAACTACTGGTATGTTTTCTAAACCAAATTCAACATGCTGGTTTTGATCTTTAAATCCCTACATGTTTACAACCCGCCCTGATGTAAACAGCTTAGAGAGCTTGGGCTATGGGCAGTATAGATATGAAAGTAATACTAATAATACATGGCCCATGGACAGACTATTTCAGGAAACTCTTTTCCTTGTTCCACTGCTACCATTATTTAAGATCCACTAATAATGTTCCCTCTGCCATTGTTCTGGAAGCTGAGACTTGCTTCTGCTATAAGCAATGTCTTGTGGTTGTGGCTCTGAAGCTGCGGAGTATAGGTGGCTCAGAAATGTCCTGTTTTTCCTTGATTGTGTTTTTAAAAAATCCATCAGGCATTTGGGATTTACCTGGAAATGTGCTTCTATTTTTGTTTCACTTTGAATTGTTTATAGTTCTATAGTTGTTAAAAGTCTTATTTTATTGCATGCAAAGAGCTATGGAACATTTAAGCTAAAGAGTGATGTAGAAATGAGGTAACTATTTAAAGGGAGGAACATGGCATTAGAAGGCTCCCATAGTGAATCAGGTTAACCATTTTGTCAACTTACACATACGTACAAAACGTAAGGCAACACAGTGTTAGCATATTGTTCATAGCACACTGGAAAATGTTACCTGATCTGTCATGATCATTATTTTTCCATAACGTAGGGTCTTGAGTGCTTCTTCATCATCATAGCTCTTTTTATATTGCAGCCCCACAATCTTAATTATATTGTTAATTTCAGCATTCTCCATGATCTGAAAAAGACCAGAATTTCTCTCTCAGATTCAGTGTACAAAACATCAACTTAAAGATTTCTCCATCCCTCTATAGAAAGGTATTGTTGGACTACAGCTCAAAATATTTAACTGATCATAAAAGCACTTAAAAAGGTACCCTGCACTAATCAGTACTCCTTGGGCAAAGTATAACAGCTGCCATTGCTGATTCTTGGAATACAGTCTCATATTTCTATTTCAGATGTCATTTTTGCAAGATTTCCTGATACAGTTTAGATGAGGACTGACAGCTTTTGCTCAAGCACATACAGCAAGTCATGGCCAACTGAAATCTATAGCGGGATTTGCAAAGCATTGCTAACTGACCTGCTTATGGGAGGCTTCCCGTACATTAAGCATCTTTCCACGTAGAGGAAACACCCCGTATTTGTCCCTGCCCACAACTCCAAGGCCAGAAACAGCTAGTGTCTTAGCTGAATCTCCTTCTGTCAAAATGAGGGTACAGTTGATAGAATTCTTGCTTCCTGGAAAGAGAATTAAGCATTTTAATCCAGAATACTCCCTTTAGAGGTATACATACCAATTTAGTCAGGATTGGCTGTGAAGGTTTGCATGACAAAAGTAGGTATTTCCCTTAGGTACAGACCAGTTAAGGAAGAAGTGGACTTCAAGACACATTAGCCAGAAGAGATGGTAACTTCACCCACAAGAGAATTCCACATGCCCAAAAACTTCCTGCCTCTCTTTCCAAAGTGCAGTTGCTCGGGGGGGGGGGGGGGAATACTACATTCTATACCAAAGCGAGGATGCTAACTCACTAAACACATAGTCTTACATTGCACCATTCTGCACCGCCTTCTCAGGAACTCAGGTTGAGAACCCCTGTAGGAACCACGGTTCAACATCTAATAAACAGCAGCAGTTTGTTATTTTTAACTCTTTTGAAACACATACCAGCATCATTGGCATCATCCAGTTTTGGTACTCCTTTAATTCTAGTATGTTTTACAGCAGAACATTTCTTGTTCAGTTGATTCTGTGCTTTAAACCTCACCCAATTCAGAATACTTTCCACTATGCCACAACCAACTGCCTGAAAAGAAAGAATAAAATTGTCTGCTGAAGGAAGCCTGAAGTGTGCCATCAGGTTGCTTTTTTCCTGCTTGAGTTGGAGTTCATTTGGTATTCAATTCTGGCTTCAGACTCCTCCCAAAATATTAAACAGCATACAACAGAAGTAAGCTCACAGAACTTACCCCTTTGATAAACTTTTCACTCAACTTGCAGGTAGAGCCAAAGGCCTTTGTTTGAAGAGTCATATTCTCCTTTGTTTGGGAGTCAAAAGTTGGATTTTCAATCAAGCAGTTTACAAATACCCACATGTGATTCTTCACCTAGAATTCAGTTACAGGTATCAATACAGACTGCAAATGTTGACCTTATTAGTCAGCTTAATCTCTCAAATTTATTCAGGTGCACTAGCCCCTAGTACCTAGCTGTGGGAACAGCATATCTCCCACAATAAGGGTAACCAAATACATCAAAAGTGGCAGAGGAACGGGATTCGAATAAGCTGTAATCAAACATAGTGGGATATGGCAACACAGAGTAACCAGATGCAAGGCCAGGTTCCTGAACTCAGAACTGCATGCTGAAAGGGCTATTTGTCATGCAGGGGCACAAAAGCCCCATGGAATATTTTCTCTTCTACACAATTAAGTAAAGGTATTTCACACACACTCACAACACTATTTCACACCATTCACCCCTATCACTAAGGTATCTTGATTCCAAGATATGTTTACAGAGCATATCAATGCTTAATCTGCATTTAGCTCTGTAGCAGGCCATAACACACAGCTGAGACACACAAATGATGGTTCACCTGAAATCTGAATGTGATCAAAGTTTAAGAAACCTACACATCAACATTTGGACAAAAGTTTGTGATGTGGCACAAAAGTGCCTGAAAGAAAGGTAAAAGCAGGACAATTTAGGGCTTTCACCTGGAAAGGCTTCACTCCAACTCCACCTTTGTTCTTTTTCTTTACAATATCTATGAGCTTGTTGACAATCTGGTCAGCAACATAGTCTACATGTCTGCCACCCTGTAATAAAAAGAGAATTAAAGTACTAACAAGTAGAAAGACCTACTACAAATTGTTATACATTGGCAAGGGCAAATTCTGAAATCAACTGTGAGTAGCCTAAAGTGCATTTTAATTTCTACCATGCACTTATACTGAATAGTACCATTTTAATGTACTAGAAGATTTATATCTATCCATAAGATGATGTACCTTTACTTGAGAACTTATTTCTCAAGTTAAGGATTATTTTGCAAACGTTTTTAATGAAAAAGGCACAATACCTTTGCCAGCAGCACTTTTTGCAAGATGCACTGAATTGCTTCCTAACTTTTTTTAAAATTTCAAATGAATGAATCTATCTTGTTCTCACTGCATAATCCTCTGGTACCTTGAAGTGGCAACACATGTAGAGATCACTTAACTAACACTAATGTTACAAAATAACTTTTAGAAGACTAAAATAACACAGTTAACAGCTATGGGCAGTTGTTCAAAATGCCCCTGTAGCTATGGACAGTAGTCCTTCAAAAGTGTAAAATCATTTGTTTTTTTTTTAAATGCAAAAAAGTACACAGTAGTGCTGTTAATTTATCTTTAGGCACAGTTGCATAACTGTGAAGTTTAGCAGTTGTGTGACTGCAGGGCTCTGAAGCCACAGCTGGGTCAATGTCCTGAAGGTGTCTGCTGCCAACATTCACAATAGGCTGCAAATGGATTTTCCTCCTTTGATTACTTTTGACGGCTATCCAAGGAAATAAAAGACATGAGGGATCTTCATAGGCAAAAACAGGTGTTCTTAGGAGGTTTACTTTTGAAATTTAATGAGATACACAGTTTCCTCCTTCAGTGAAGTGTTCTGAGCTGCACTTTATTGCTAAACAATTAACAATACAAATTCAAAATAACCAGAGTATACTTTGGAAAATAAATTACCTTAGTTGTAGCAATGCTATTGACAAAGCTAACTTGCTGGAAGCCCTTTTCACTCATTGTTAGACACACCTCCCACCGGTTATTCACTTCTTCATGAATAACCTTCAATGGATTCCCAGTTTCATCCAGCTTGTCCTTTAGGTACAGATCTACATAGCTCCGGAATCCTTTGACCTAGAGACAGGCAGGAAACTTTACAGCATATTTTAGGAATTTCTATTGCTTTGGTTGGTAACATGATAGATGAGCAGGGCTTGAATATAGTCAGATTGGGTATCCCAAGTGCCAAGCCAAAAAGGACAAGAAAAATCCACTCACAGGCAGTCTCTTTCCATTCAAGAAGACTTTGACATCTTTAGCTGATCCTGCAATATCATAGGCTCTGCGAGCCATTAGAGCCACAATGTCTTTGTCCAGTGTGGTCATTTTAAATTTTGACAAATCAGGCTGGAAAGTGATGCATGTAAAGTCCTCACCATCAAAGTACTGCAGTTTCATCTCTCCTGCCTTACTCATATTATCAGTCCAAGTCTGAGAGGGAAAATGAAGAGAAGTTAGAAATTTTATCTACAGAAACACACAGATCATTTTACCTAAAGAGCTAGTTCCTCATCAGGGAAGAAGCACATAGCATGCTGCTTGTTGGCCCAAACCCCTTAATTTAGTCACCTTGTGACTCTCAGTAAGTTTTGGAGGGTTGAATCCAACGGTCCCTAGACAGCATCTGAGGAACTGTGGGATATTTCAGATTCCAAGCTCTGATAAAGCACTCTGACCCCAGGGCTGGAAATCAGAGCTCTGAGTCCTCTCCTTTTCCTTGCAATGGGCATGGAAAGATCCATACTGGCAGCCTCTCTAAGGCTGGGAAGGTACCCTCAGAGAGGGGTAAAAGGAAAGCATTTTGGTGGGTGGGGAGGAGACTGAAGAGGCGAGGATACAAGCTATCCTAGGGCCTCCCCAGTCTCCCCCGCCATCTTCCAAAATGTCCATCTAGTGACAATGCATTAAGTCTACTGTTCCTTCTGCCCTGCACATAATCTGCAGAATCTTCAGAGTCTGAGGTCTTATGAACATCAAGGGGCAGCCCATAGGATTGCACCTGAAGATATACAAGCACAACTGTTAGAACAACAGACCAGCTGATGTCTGGGCAGGCAGCAAACATGAAAAAACCTCAGAAGCTAATATAAATGTAATATAGACTTTGGGCCTTGCATCTTAAAACAAAATCATCATTATGGTCCTTCATACCTGTTTAAAGTGTTTCTCAAATTCTCTGCATGCTGTTTCCACTGTAAATTTAGTACTAAAGATGTTGCACAACTTTGCTCCATAGCCATTTCTGCCACCTGGGACAATGGGAAATAAGTCAGTAGAACTTTGTAGTAGGTATTTAGCTCAGTTCTAGGAATGTTTACTCAGAAATAAGCCTCATTTAGTTCACTGGAATTTGCTCCCAATCAAGTGTGTATAGGATTGCAGTGTTAAAAGAGGAACTTAAGCAGAACAAAAATTCAAGCATTCAAACCTTAAATTCACTACTGCCATCTTTAAAATACCAAGTAAACATATATATGGGTCATTTCTATCTCATGCTTCCCTGGAACAATCACACAGTCCTATGCTGTCAGCAGTTGCTAGTATGGGATATGCTGGGTTTTCCATGTCTGATACCTTTCTTGAAGGAACAGAAAGCACATTTCCTTTCATTTTGTCTGCCTCAGGAAAATCTTGTGTCTGTTCTCTCTCCTACATTTTACCCTGACTAACTTAGCAATGAGGAACATCTAACCCCAGGCACAAGGTCAATGGCTAAGTATAGGACATGAGCTGAAGCTCAAAATCTGAAAGGTCAGATTCCCCAGTCTCATTTCAGCTCAGCAAAAGGAAGTTAGTAAAACTTGACTGCTTTCAGATAATTAAAAAACAGGTAAAATATAGGTCTCACTTTTAAACAGAGCACAGTAAATTAACTTTCAATTTACTTGTTGCCTATTCTAGTATAGTCATTAGAAGAGAAATAGAATAAAAAGATAATACATGCACACTTCTCATTGTGCAAATGTAAATTCTAGTATCAATTATCAGAAAGAACAGAACTAGGATAGAGGTTGTGATTGTGGAATGAACATTTGACTCTGCTCATTCCATCTTGCAGTTTTGCAACAGTTTTGAAGTTCTAACTAACTGAAGATTCCTAGCAAAGACAGAGATAAGATTTTTGAGTTACTTAAGACATATTCTGAAGCTTCAGAGTCACTCAAGGCTCATTAATAATCATTAAAGATGATTTAATCTAACCTGTTACTTTCTTCTCATCATCATCATAGTTGCTGGAGGTCAAAAGCTGCCCAAAAATAAGAGCAGGCACATAGACTTTCTCTACTTTGTGTTCTACAACAGGAATTCCTTTTCCATTGTTCCACACAGAGATTGTGTTATTCTCCCTAGAAAGAAAAACCAAACCCCTTATAAATAAAAAACAGGTAGAGCCACACTGTTGAATTCTAGCTTAGAACAGCTGTTCATCATTGTTTCTTCAGAACTCCCTTTTCAGAAATTTCTCATCTCTACAGATTCAAAATACGAATCTTATTGACTCAGTGACAGGCAGTCCTCAGCTACACATCTTTTAGCTTTATTTAATAGCAGTCTTATGATAAAGGGTTTTTGGGGGTGTGAATGTGTGTGTGTGTGGGGGGGGGGGGGATTCAGGTTGACAGTACTTTACTGGACCCTCATGAAAGTACAGATATTACTGTAGAAATTGCAATACAAGTATTCTCATATGGATCATTCTTATATGATGCCATTACCTTTCTGTTTTAAATTATATAGTCAGAGTGATCTTATATAGCCCCTAGATGGTGTTTAGGGGTCATAGGTTTTTTTAGAGTTCCATTTCTGACCTTGATACAGAAATAACTGTGACAACTGCTTCTCCAAGATCATAAGGTGGGCAGGAAGAAGACTGATACCGCCAAAGAATGATAAACTCCAGTGGTAGGCCTACAACTGGTAAATAGTTTTATAAGAAAAATCCACTAACTGATTGTTTGGATTCCCCCAGTAGACTGAATGACATGTAGGCAATTCTTCTGTTTTATAAAAATAACAACAAGCATACGGCGAAGCCCAACATAGCCAACACTACTACTTTTCTGAGGTCATTATGGAAATCGGGTGTCACACAATTCAAGTTTGCAGTTGATGTTTCCAACCTTTTGGCAATGCCCTGTCAACACATTACAGTTAAGCAGGTTACAGTGTCTGGAAAGCAGAGTTCTACTGGAGCACAAACTTAAGCTTCAGGTGAATGCACTATACCTATGCATCACCTTCTGCATATACCAATACTTGAAGTAGCAAAGAAATACAAAAGAAAAGCCTGAACAGAACTTACGGGTCAATTGTAACTTTGATACAAGACATGCTCTTATCTCTCTGCTTGTTATCAGCAGCATTGACTAAAATGGAGAAAGGAATATAGCTTGTCAGTAAGAGGCCAGTATTTATCAATTCCTTGACCTAACCAGTTACAGTTGCCCACATCTACTTATCTGCAGTTATACTTTTTTACAACTGAGGCTGTGATAGCAACTTGTTCAAGCTATGAGCCTGCAATCACATTAAAGATTTCACCAAGTCAGACTTAATACCTATTGCAATCTTTGTGTATTTCATCCCACTCAGCAACACCTGGAACTAAAATATTTGTCTCCATAAATATTTGTTTATTTATTACATTATATCCTGCCTTTTTTGGCCTGCAATTAATACAGCTTATATAAGTCTCCTCTCCATGTAATCCTCTGGAGTAGATTAGTATGAGAAATCATTGACTGGTTCAAAGTTATCTAGAGAGTGTCATAGCAGAACAGTACTAAAATCTGGATCTCTCAAGGCTGAGTTCAACACTCCAACCACTATGCAACACTGACGCTAGAAAACCTAATATTACTCTTCACCACAAATGCATTTCATCCACAGCATCTGAACATACCTAGGATTTCATCAAAGATTTTATACAGGCCAGGTACAAATGTGACTTCCCGGCAATTCAGTCCAACATCTTCATCAAATACCCACATTTGCTGAAAAGAGAATTTTAAACAGTAGTGATGTTTCATTCATGAATTAAAAACTGTTTAGCTACAGAACACTATTTTCTACTATAATGAATTCATGATTAGCAAGTGGTTTGCACTGTGGGACTGCAAATAGTTTTAGAATGTCAAGAGGATGAAAATCAGAGAAACACCTGCAGCATACTGAATGCCAACTACTCAATTCAGCAGTGGGGAATACTTTTTGGCCCCACACTTTTTCAAGCAAGCTTCCAGGAGTCTGCCCGGGGTGGGGGGAGGCCCCGCCACAAAACTGGTTTTTATTCTACCCATCATACCAAATTGAAATGAACGTAAGAAGCCAGGATCACCCAGTGTCCCCATTAGCCATATGGACTGATTGAAGCCAGCATAAGATGCCAAATATTGAAAAGACAGAGTTCAGTAATATAGAAACCACTTCTCAGTCTCCTAAATGAGAGTAGTCTACTTAAGCTGTGCTATGAACTTCTTTTGCAATCAGCAGAACAAAATAACTTCAAAGAGTTCCTCAATACATTCAGTCTTTACCCCTCTAAAAATAAAAGCTTTTTACCTGGTTCACTTGTTCCACAGAGCCAATGTATGTATCTGGGCGAAGCAATATATGCTCCAGCTGGGTTTTCTTCTGATAGATTCTTTCAACAGACAACCTCTTTTTAGGATCCCCATTCTTGATTTTGTTCACTTTGGGATTCTCATCCACTGCCTGAATTGAAGCAAAGTGAAATCAGCATGATAAAATACTCTACAAGGAAGAGTACTGGATGGGTGGGTACCCTAGGCTGAAAATGAAAAAACAGAAAAATGTGCATACATGCTCCAACTATAATTATGTATGGTAAAGAAGTTCTGTAAAGGAGATAAGTGGGTGTGCTACTCTATCAGGTATTACAACTCCTCATGGTTGTTTTAAACCCTGGGCTGTTGTGAATGAGGCAGGATCAAGCCATTTCCCACCGCCCAACAGCTTCCACTGCAAATGAACAATCCAAGAACAACCTATCCCTGCACTGTTAACCATGACATATGAACTTGTATTTTTAAATTGTGGAGAGATAACCCAGAAATCCTGGTTTGCATGTCATGTCTTACAGGGTGACCTTTGCTTTTTTGCTTCCTCTCATTTGCAGCAGGAACCAGTATGCTGGCTTGCATTGTTTACAATATCCTAGGGTTAAATAAAACTTCTGGCTTGCTGTGATAACTGAACTGAGTTAATGACTATATGGCAATGAAAATTCCTAAAACTAACCTCCATGCCACCTCTGTACCCTGACCATAGGCTTCCCAGATGCATCTGATTGGCCTACCTCTGTTCCACACCAGATGCTGGACTGATTGACTGACTGATTTATTACAAGCATTTATACCTATCCTTCTGCCAAGTGCTCAGGATTGAATGCCTCTTTGATGTGCCCCAGCACAGCTCACATTGTTCATAATGCTTAAGAAAATTAATCTCTTCGAACTAAAAAATTCTAAAAGATTGAACTATAACTAGAATGGGTGGTAGTGGGGAACAGGGTTAGGAGCAAACATTATGTCCACCCTGGGGATAGAAATAGTTATTCCTGGGTCACAGAGACCTACTGCAGATGTCCCACTGCTCAGTCACAAACTCTGAAAAAGAACCCCTTATGTATGGTAAGGAACATCTGGAATGGAGGAAAAAGAGTAATACATATTCCCTTGCCCAAGAAAAAGGGAACAAAACACACACATCCAGCCAGAAATTGTGAAGTCATGAAAACAATTTTTCAAGCGATGGATGTGAATTAGTGGATAGTTTTTTCTGACTAATAAATTATAAAAACATCCTGTACAGAATCATTTTCTGTAGACCCTTTCGGGCTACCTACATGATGCAGGTAATCTCTGAATGTGTGAATAAAATGCAATGTTCTTTTGACTGTACACCCCTAGCATACCTGGGTTTACTGTTTCTTGACAACACCAGAATGCTTGTGTTGACTTTTTAAATCATTAATGAATCAATCTAACAAACCGTTTGTTACCATTCGCACTTGCCTAGATGTTGAGAACTTCTTTGGAGGCGCCTTTCTTGGTGCTCCACTTTGGGAATTTAGACAGGTGGCTCCTGGATACACGTTGCCCTTTGGATGGCACTTCACTTAATGTAACTCTATTTCTCCATGGATGACCACCTGATACTGACCCTGTTAAGTTTTGGACCTCATCTCACCCATGCCTTTAAGTAAAAGACAACTAATTTTTAGTACCGCTGTACTATATGCTGCATGTTGCTATTTTCCACGTGTATTTTAAGCTGCTTAAAATGATTAATTCTCTAAATTCTCTTTAAAAGCTGTAACAGCAGCCTCCTTGTATGCTGACTGGGTTCATTCAATATAATCCCCCTCCCCAGTTTAATATATGGACGGGAAGAAAGTTCCAGTCTCAGAAGAGGTTAAAAGGTAACAAGGGGGAAAAGATGCGACTACGAGAGGGAAACAAACGGAAATACGTTTTCAACTGGAGTTGGGAGGAGAGTAAAAGAATAAGAGTTTTAAGGTGCTAGCGGAAGTGCTAGTTCGGAACTAAAGATTTACCTTGAGCGGGGAAAAGGAGTCGTCGAGATCCATAGAAGATTTGCAGTGTGGACGAAACGAAGACTAAAGGAAATTGGGAGTCTCTTGAAAAGGGAGGGGGGAGTTTAACGCCACAAAGTTCGCGCTGCCGAACTAAATGACCGTCGCCGATGGGGAGCACTTGGCAATATAATGAAGAACGGGCGGCAAGCCGCCGCGTCCGCCCCAGGGACCGGATTTCGTTGCACGCGCGCGCTGACAGACTCCCGCCACCAACCGCTGCTCGCACCGGCTGCTTTCCTGAGCCTGACTTAACCGAACGGCTAATGGAGGCCAAGGCCCGCACAAAGACTTGAATACTAAGCCGACTTCGAAAACCACGCCTCAGCCCGCTCAAATGCCGTCTGACCAATCACAGCTAGTCTTTCTTTCAGCTGGACCAATCGCGATTTGAGACAGTCGCGGTAGGGAGAACGAACGATAAACCCAGCCAATCGGAACAAAAATGGAGCATTCGAAATACTTAAAGAAGAAGAAAAAAAAAAAAGCGGCCGCACGGAAAAAGCATCACGGCAGTCACTGCTTCTTCTCGCGCGGGTTGTGCGGGTGGTGGAAAGAGGCGACTGGACGTTGTAGCAGTGCTTTTCAACTGCAAGGAAGGAAATATCGCTGAAGGACTAGTGAGGCCGGTGAACATAATATAACTTTCTGCCAGTTCGTTATAATAATTATAGCGAATGTCGTCTCCCGCACACCCACATCGTTTATTTAGAGCCAAGTGCACAAGCTGTTTGCCGATGGGGTCGCGCACACGCTTGCACGATCATATCTAGGAGCCGAATCGTTTCTGTGTCGGGGGAGGCTAAACCTCCCGCCATTCTTAGCGATCCTGATTACTATTAGGAATGGAGGAGGAGTGACCCGGATTGGGCAGCACCTGTGGTATACCCCTGATCTAGCGCCAGTGTGGAATAGTAGTTAGATTGATTAATGCGCAGGGAGTCTCAGTCTCAGATCCCCACTCAGCCATGATGCTGTATAGGTGGTGTGCTCTCGGCCAGTCACGTTTTAGGTTTATCTCACAGGGCTGTTGTTGGGAAACGTACTGAACACTGGCTTAAGCTCCTTGAAAGAAATGCAAGATATAAACGCCATAACGAACAAACATGAATTAACATAAGAAAAACCTTGCTGGATCAGGCCTTTTGTTGTTGTTAGTCGGGAAGTCGTGTCCGACCCATCGGGACCCCATGGACAACACTCCTCCAGGCCTTCCTGTCCTCCACCATCCCCTGGAGTCCACTCAAGCTCACACCAACTGTTTCAGTGACTCCATCTAGCCACCTCATCCTCTGCCGTCCCCTTCCTCTTCAGCCATCTAGTGTTCCCAGCATTAGGCTCTTCTCCAGTGAATCCTTCCTTCTCATTAGGTGGCCAAAGTATTTGAGCTTTATCTTCAGTATCTGGCCTTCTAAAGAGCAGTCAGAGTTGATCTCCTCTAGGACTGACCGGTTTGATCGCCTTGCAGTCCAAGAGACTCACAGGAGTCTCCTCCAGTACCACAAGTCAAAGGCCTCAATTCTTTGGCGCTCAGCCTTCCTTACGGTCCAACTTTCACAGCCATACATTGCAACTGGGAAAACCATAGCCTTGACTATACGCACTTTTGTTGGCAGGGTGATGTCTCTGCTTTTTAGTGTGCTGTCTAGATTTGCCATAGCTTTCTTCCCCAGGAGCAACCATCTTTTAATTTCTTGGCTGCAGTCCCAGTCTGTGGTGATCTTGGAGCCCGGGAAAATAAAATCTGTCACTGCCTCCATTTCTTCCCGATCTATTTGCCAGGAAGTGAGAGGACTGGATGCCATGATCTTAGTTTTCTTAATGTTGAGTTTCAACCCAACTTTTCACTTTCCTCCTGTGGTAACCCCCCTTATAATCAAACATGCAGCCAGGGCATGCCTCGTCACGGGTAAAAGAAAGCATGATCAGGGTGTCCTGTTCGCGTGAACAAGAACAGGAACCCGCAACGAATGTGCACGCTACGCAAGGATGAAAACAAAGCAGACCACGCTCAAGCATAACCGCCAGTGTCAGACCCTTGTAACCTCGCTTGCTTGCCTTAGCATGGGAAAGGTGCAAAATGTGCAAATGTAACTCAGTGGGGTTCCCCATTGTCCGCTGTCATTCATGCACCTGCATAGCTGTAAAAGAGTATAAAATTAGCTGCATTCGTCTGCCCGGTACCACACTCTCACGAGTGCATGGTCCCTGCCGGCAGGTAAATAAATCTCTCGGTAATTCCAACCAGTCTCTGGTCTCGTCTGTAAAATCGCTCCACAACACCTCCTTCATCCGCATCAAGAGGCTCTTTAGTTCCTCTTCACTTTCTGCCATTAGAGTGGTATCATCTGCATATCTGAGGTTGTTGATATTTCTCCCAGCAATCTTAATTCCAACTGGTGATTCATCTAGCCCGCCTTTCTCATGATGTGCTCTGCATATAAGTTAAATAGGCAGGGCGACAGTATACAGCCTTGCCAAAATCCTTTCTCAATTTTGAACCAATCAGTGGTTCCGTGTCCAGTTCTCACTGTTGCTTCTTGACCCGCATATAGGTTTCTCAAGAGACAAATAAGATGGTCTGGTACTCCCATCTCAGTAGATGTTTTTCTGGAACTCCCTAGCTTTCTCCATGATCCAGCATATGTTGGCAATTTGATCTCTAGTTCCTCTCCCTGTTCAAAATCCTGCCTGTACTTCTGGTAGTTCTCGGTCCACATACTGCTGGAGCCTAGCTTGTAGGATTTTGAGCATCACTTCGCTAGCATGTGAAATGAGTGCAATGGTGCGGTAGTTTGAACATTCTTTGGCATTGCCCTTCTTTGGGATGGGAATGTAAACTGACCTTTTCCAATCCTGTGGCCACTGTTGAGTTTTCCAAGTTTGCTGGCATATTGAGTGTAGCACTTTTACTGCATCGTCTTTTAAGATTTTGAATAGCTCAGCTGGAATACTGTCACCTCCACTAGCTTTGTTGTTGCTCAGACTTCCTAAGGCCCATTTGACTTCACATTCCAGGATGTCTGGCTCGAGGTCAGTGACCACCCCATCATGGTTATCAGGGACGTTAAGCTCTTTCTTGTTTAGTTCCTCTGTGTAACCTTGCCACCTCTTCTTAATCTCTTCTGCCTCTGTTAGGTCCCTGCCATTTTGGTCCTTTATCATGCCCATCTTTGTATGAAATGTTCCCGTAATATCTCCAGTTTTCTCGAAGAGATCTCTGGTCCTCCCTACTCTATTGTTTTCTTCTATTTCTTTGCACGGTTCATTTAAGAAGGCATTCTTATCTCTTCTAGCTATTCTCTGGAACTCTGCAATCAATTGGGTGTATCTTTCCTTTTCTCCCTTGCCTTTCGCTTCCCTTCTTTCCTCAGCTATTTGTAAAGCCTCCTCAGACAGCCATTTTGCTTTCTTGCATTTCTTTTTCTTTGGGATGGTTTTAGTTGCTACCTCTTGTAGAATGTTGCGAACCTCCGTCCATAATTCTTCAGGCACTCTGTCTATCAGATCTAATTCCTAAATCTATTAGTCACCTCTACCGTATATTCATCAGGGATATGACGTAGGTCATACCTGAGTGGCCTGGTGCTTTTCCCTACTTTCTTCAATTTAAGCCTAAATTTTGCAACAAGAAGCTCATGATCTAAGCCACAGTCAGCTCCTGGTCTAGTTTTTACTGACTGGATAGAGCTTCTCCATCTTTGGCTGCAGAGCACATAGTCAATCTGATTTCTGTGTTGACCGCCTGGTGATGTCCATGTGTAGAATCGTCTCTTGGGTTGTTGGAAAAGAGTGCTTGCTATGACCATCGTATTCTCTTGACAAAATTCTACCAGCCTGTGCCCTGCTTCATTTTGTACTCCAAGGCCAAACTTGCCTGTTATTCTGGTCATCTTTTGGCTTCCTACTTTAGCATTCCAATCCCCCATGATGATAAGGACATCATTTTTGGGTGTTAATTTTAGAAGGTGTTGTAGGCCTTTATAGAACCGGTCAACTTCAGCCTTTTCAGCACCAGTGGTTGGGGCATAGACTTGGACTACTGTGATGTTGAATGGTTTGCCTTGGATTCGAACTGAGATCATTCTATCATTTTGGAGATTGTATCCCAGTACTGCTTTTCCTACTCTTTTATTGACTATGAAGGCTACTCCATTTCTTCTGAGGGATTCTTGCCTGCATACCTGATGGTCATCTGCATTAAATTCACCCATTCCTGTCCATTTTAGTTCACTGATCCCTAAGATGTCGATGTTCAGTCTTGTCATCTCTTGTTTGATCACATCCAGCTTGCCTTGGTTCATGGATCTTACATTCCAGGTTCCTATGGAGTATAGATCTTTGCAGCATTGGACTCTCCTTTCACCACCAGGTACATCTGCAACTGAGTGTCCTTTCTGCTTTGACCCAGTCGTTTCATTCTTTCTGGTGCTACTAGTACTAGCCCTCTGCTCTTCCCCAGTAGCATATTGGACACCTTCTGACCTGAGGGGCTCATCTTCCGGTGTCATATCTTTTTGCCTTTTGGTACTGTCCATGGGGTTTTCATGGCTAAGATACTGGAGTAGGTTGCCATTTCCTTCTCCAGTGGATCACGTTTTGTCAGAGCTCTCTGCTATGACCTGTCCGTCTTGGGTGGCCCTGCACGGCATAGCTCATAGCTTCATTGAGCTACACAAGCCCCTTCGCCACGACAAGGCAGTGATCCATGAAGGAGGGATCAGGCCTTAAATCCTGTCTAATCCAGCATCCTGTCTCCCCCCTGCCCCCAGTGACCAACCAAATTGCATATGGAAAACAAGCAAGAGTTCGCTGGGGCAATATCCCTCTCCCAACAAGAGGAATTCACCAACAGGTATGTCTGATGCTGAATGTTGTATACGTATCTAAAAATATTTCTAGGCTATCTTTAAGGAGGGTATAAAATGAACACACACACACAACACTGATTAGATTAAATAAAAATCCATAGAAGCAGTTTACCAAGAAAAATCAGTAAACCTGCAGTAAAACAAAAACAAAAAACAGCAACATAGATTCCCTTATACTTACCAGCCTAACTGCCCTTTGCAGCAAGCAAGGAAGTAGGGCATCCGTTGTTGACTTCAGAATGCAGGGAATCTGATACAGGAGAAAGTGGCCCCTTACATTTCTTGGGCCCAAAGCATTTGAGCCTTTAAATTGGTCTTGGAAATGCAGTGGCAACCATGATTTTGACTGCAAAGTTTCTGATTACCAGGGTGTATGAAAAGTATAACTTTAAGACCAAATAGGATTGCCTCTTAACTCCTGCTTTAGTATACTGAGGTACTGTTGATAGCTATTGGATCTACCACTGTATTAAAAATGTGACAGTTGCAAACCTTTGAGAGAAGCTTAGAGCATATGCAGACCATGTCCCCAATACCAGCTCTACAAGAATTAATCTATGAAACGTTACCATATTCTTTAACATGAAGTGAAGCTGGATTGGAATTATGTAAACCTCCTTGAGCTCCTTGGGAGGAAAAAAGGCAGAATATATCTATAATAAATTTATCAGATTTCAATCTCATCTTTTCTCTTTTAAAGCACTCAAAAGTGGCTTACATCATTCTCTTCCTCCTTTTCCCAATCCACACAACAACCCTGTGAGGTAGGTCTGTGACTGGTCCAAAGTCACCCAGTTATCTCCATAGCTGAGCAGGGACTAGAACCCATATCCCCTGAATCTCAGTCCCGCACTCTTAGTCACCTCTACACCTCAAAATGATGAGTTGACGTATCTGAGCTATTTTAACTTTACTATCTGGTTCAAAAAACAATCTGGTAATGGTAGGAAATAAATGGAATGATCAATGACAAGCATTGTTATAGGCAATTCTGTGGTAAAACTAGCATCAAAGAAATCCTTAGAACACTATGGAGATGTTTGTAACCCTCCGAACATGGAGGATTGTGGGCATCCTAAGCAGGGTGGTAGAACTGTGATGGCAAAGCACTTAGGTGTGTGCTGCTCTTCAGAGTGGGAGGGAAGGAGGCCGACGTGCTGCCAAGGTATGATGTATCTTCCAATTTCCGTCTCCTGGTTCTTTCTGTGTTGGCTGGGAAGAGGCAGAGGGAGATTTGGGCATGAATCCCAAGCCACAAGGTCATAAGAGATTGTCTGATCTTGTAGGGAGAAAGCAGAAAGATCCTGCAACTGTCTAGATGCTACCCAGCCACCTAGGATTGCTCTGACCAATTAAAGTTTAATGTTGGTTTTAGGTTAAATAAAAACTGACAACTGAGATCCCTGGCATAAATGAGACACTTAGTACTCCCAATTCAGAATGTGCAAGTATTTATTTTAAAGCATTTTTGCAATATGCTTCAGCTAAAAAGGCTCCCAGAGTGCTTTACATGAGAGCAATAAAAACAGTAACAAACAACACTCCCTGTCCACTGGTTTACAGTCTAAAAGACATAACCGAAAGGGAATAGGGAAAAAAAACACAATTTTTATTTCACAAAAGGTTCTCTATATTGGAGACTTATTACAATATTAAGAAATGTCATAATAGAGTTGAGATTAGCTTGTTCCATTTCAGTGTTCTAAACAGGAATGTTTAAAAAGCATTAGCTCTAATCCCTTTGAAGAGTCTGTTAACAAATCTTAGCTGCATGACTAGCTGGGGAATGTTGGAAGTTTTAGGACTGTTTTGCATCTGAACATGCATAGGATTGCACCCTAAAAGGACTTATTTCAGTGTCTAATAAATTACTGATGCAAGAGTTCAACAATGGATCCACAAATTCAAGAACAGGCAGTAAGACAACTGTAGGGTAGAAATTACAGAAGCACAATGGGAATCTGTTGTTTAGATTGAAACAAGTAACTCCACTGTAGCTTGTGTCAGAAAAAATAATTTAAAGGATTTTATGGATGACACTTTTCATGAGATAAATAAATGTACTAGGATGACTCCAGATTCATGCTAGTGCTGGTTAGAGCTCAGGCAAATTATTTTTGTATGTGAATTACTTCAAAGCACAATAAATTTCTACATGAGGCAGAGTTCAAAATTAAGAAATTAACATTGGAACGATGGATAATGCATAGTTGTGATATTATATATCTGTATTTGGTTGGATCCAGACTAAAGACTATGCAAGTTTCATCAGGAAAAAGGCCTCCAGCTCCAAACACACACCAGCAAGCTATAGTGGCTGTAGTATGCTGTGAGCTGTACATCTTTTTTTTTTTCTGTCTAAACATGTATAGGATTATACCTTGATTGTATGTTCTCACAGAAACAGATGGCATTTAAGTTAATCGTGTCTAATTTTCACATTGATTTCAGTGGGACCTTCACGTGATTTTTATACAGCAATCCTAGGCATGTCTGCTCAGAAGTAAGTCCTGTTGCGTTCCATGATGCTCACTGTCAGATATGTATATGACTGTGGACTTAGTTTGGATCCACAAACGAAGGGATAGGGATAAACGGTGGCCAGAAAGGGGAGTGTTTAGCCTTGTGCCTGTACTATAAAATAAAGCTTTTGAAACAAAGCGCTGATGGTGGCTACAGACTTGACAACCATTTGTTCACACAAAATCACCACTGTCACCGCTAAGGGGATTTTCTATCCATGGAAGAAAAGACACAGAGATACCCTGTATCTTTCACAAATAACAGACAAAAAAAAAGCTTTGAATACATCCTGCGATCTCTTGCTTAGTCTGCAGCGCTGACAGTTGGACTGAGCTACAAAAGACTGCCCTTGGAGAAAACCATCTATGGATTACATGTAACAGTGTTGTTCAACCCTTACAAGCATAGAGTATGAATGGAAAGAGCTGCCTAGATGGGTAGTTGAAGAACTTTTTTCCTTGGCTCTTTTCAGTGGGATGCTATGTAGATCTGCTTTGTCACATCAGCAGTGCAATGGTTTGCACTAGCTCACCCACAACTGTTACTTTCCAGTTGCAGGGGTAACACCTCTATGATTTCCAAAAAGTAAAAGTGTGCCAGCAACCCGGGTGCTCTATTCTCTGCCGAATTTGGGTTCCCTGTGCAAGAATTGTGTATCAAAAGGACACTTAAAGTCTCCCATACATTTCTGTGCCCACAGCAGCCTTCTGTCACCTTTTGGCCAAGTGAAGATTAGTGCACATGAGAGTGCAAGCACATCTCCTTACAGGAGCCGGTCAGCCTATGTGCTCAAGAATAAGCACCAACATTATTTGCACCTGGTTGCAAAGAGGCACTGTTTCTGCACAACAGCACACATTGACAATTTGCCATGCCGTATGCAATGAATGTGAGTTTGTGAGTTTTCTCACAAACTCCCCCGTTCCCCCAATGGTGGCGTGGAGAGATGCGTATCTGTGCTTTCCACCTCAGTGTCCTAGTGCATGATCCTCTTTCAGTCTTCCCATTCCAGTCTTGGCAGCAACTAGATCCTGCTAGTCTTCCTTGCTGATCCGGTGCTGTGCTCACTGTATATGCACACATCAGAAGCTGTTTTCTACACAGAGAACAATCAGGGAATTTGAGCAGCTCTGTGTGTCTCCTCTGAGGAACCTGCCCCTTGCTGGTGGTGAGGCGAGGCCTTCTGACTGGCCAGATGCTGTTCGCCAACCTCGACAGTTTTGACTTTGGGACAGGCCATCCTGATGCTTCACACCATGCCAGACAGTCTTATAGGTCCTGGGCGTTAAAGAAAAGGGAACAGAGCAAGTCAAACACATTGCAAGAAAGCATTTAGGTGATGTTTCCTATGTCTACCCATTACTCTAAAGGTTGAACTAGACACAGTGGACTAGTTCCCAAGACCATCATAAGTCAGCATGGCTTATTTAAGTTGCAGCATATGGAGAGTGTGATTTCCATGCCCAGAAAGTGATTATGGAAATAGCACCCAGTAGGTACCATGAGTTAAACAAGCTGCTGTGTGTTATTTAAAGTGAGGTGTGATTCCATAAATGGAGTCGGTCACTCACTGTGGTTTGTTTTGATTAGGTGAACTAAGTCAACTGCAGAAACTGCACATAGAATCATAGAGTGGTAGAGCTGGAAAGGGCCAAGAAGGCCATCAGGTCCAACCCTCTGCTGTTGCAGGACACCAGTTTACACCACCCCACTCAGATGACTGTCAGTTTGAATGTCTTTAGTGTGGGAGAGCGCACAGTCATATTGCTCTGACAGTGAGGAAACTTTCCCTGATATCTAGCATGAACCTAGTTTGTTGCGACTTGAGTTGACCATTCTGTGTCCTACACTTTGGTATCAACAAGAAGAGATCTTGACCTTCCTCTTTGTGACAGCCTTTGAGGTCCTTATAGAGGGATATCACGCCCCCCCCCCTCAGTCTTCTCAAGGCTGAACATGCCCAGTTCTCACAGTCTCTCCTCATAGGGTAGCCTTTCTAAACTCTGGATCATTTTTGTTGTCCTCCCCGGACCCTAATTTTCCTGCATCTTTCTTATATCTTGGTGTTCAGAACTGGACACGGTTCTAGATAAGGTTTAGCTAGTTAAGAGTATAGGGGAACTATTACTTCTCATGATTTGGAAGTAATACTTCTCTTAATGCACCCTAAACTCGCATTTGTCCCTTTTGTGGCTACAACACATTACTGGCTCATATTTAGCCTGTGGGCCACAATAACTCCAAGGTTTTTTTTTCTTTTTCAGTTTTATTAAGCCACATATTCCCCATCATGTCTTGATGCATTTGGTTTCTTTTTTGTAGGTGGAGGACTTGGCACGTGTCCCTATTGAATCTCATTTTGTTGTTTTCAGCCCACCTTCAAGTTTATCAAGCTTGCCCTGGAACTTCATTCTGTCTTCTAGGGTGTTCGCTATTCCACCCAATTTTGTATCATCTGCAAATCTGATTATCTTTCTTTATACTTCCTCATCTAAATCATTAAGAAAGATGTTGAGGAGCACCAGACCTAGGACTAAACCCTGCAGTACCCACTAGTTACCATTCTCCAGTCTGAGAAGGTGCCATTGATGAGCACTCTTTGTGTCTGATTTAGCAGCCAATTTTGCATCCACCTAGCAGTTTTTCTAACTTGTTCACTTTTGTTAATTTGCTTATCAGGATGTTGTGAGGCACTCCGTTGAAAGTTTTGCTAAAGTCAAGATAGATTATGTTCACAGTGATTCCTCTGTCTATTTGGGAGGTTACCCAGTCAAAAAATGAGATTAATGTATACATGTAGAACTTGCAGTGACAGCGAAAGGAGGCTGGAGAGGCTGATTTGGACTGTAATCAAATCAGTAATGTTGATGCACAGCTCAATGTCCCTTGCACTGTGCCATTTCCCTCCCTGAAGCTGCTCACCACAGATGCCTTTTGCCCAGCCAGTCACATCCCATATTGGAACGCAGCTGTGAGGAAAAATACTTGGAGACAAACTGGAGGAGAAAAGGTGTAGGTGAGAAGAGGGCTTCACACTCTGTGCTTATGACCTGAATGCTCAAAATTCACTCCTGAATCACCCCACCTTTTTTTAATGTGAATGAGGCGTTTCCATATTTCAAAGCATGAAACTGCTCTTGTCACACTACTTTGGCCCTAAGCCTCAATATTAATATGTTTTTGCAGTATCTTTACTTTCAGTGCTCAAAGCAACACATGCATATTCTCTCAGCTATCTTGCAAGATAGGCTACTATTATCCATAGTAGTATGGATAGACTGAGGAACGGGAGAACATGAAACCAACAGTTGATTGCCTAAACAGAACAGTCACTAGATGAACAGTGATGTGTACAGACACTATCGAAAAGGTGACAAGCAGCCTCGATTTTCTTATTTCTCTTGGAAATCTAATGTGGGACAAAGAAAAACCCCAGAAAAACACATTCATTTCTCTTTGTCTCTCCAGTATTTTCTTCAGACCCACACATTGTTTTGATGGTGCTGCTGCTGACATCCGACCATGGGGATGTGGTCTGGGGGGTTGAAACTGACCACTGGAGTCCCCAGAGCTGTGCACCCAATTCTAGTGCCATCACTAGTTATTTGAACTGGGGACTTGCTGACTTCTGCAGAGATGTCCCTAACCTAGCTCAGCTCTTTCTTTCTTCCCCTCTTGCAGGAAAACCGGTACATATATTTTGGGATTCCCCATTTGTACTTCCCTGTATATTCATACATCTCTATGGATGATGCTTTCTCTGACCACACCATGCTCACCATGCAGGATCTGTCATGACATTAAGCCCATTGAATGTGTAGATAGGGAACTTCATAGTGTTGAAATCAGAAGTGCCATCTCTACTGAAGAGGGTATTCCAGCTTTTTGCTAAAAGTTGGCCCTGCAATGGAAATGATACTTGTCAAGCTAAGAAATAATACAAGTCTGCATGCTGTACTCCCTTGTTTGCAGGCACAAGTCCCAGAAAGTCAGTGCTTCAGCTTGAGGAGCAGCATCCAAGCAGCTGTAAGAAGATATTGTCCCTTCCCCAAAATAGGGAATGCCATCTAGTGTCCTCAGGTGTCAATATTATGGCTTCCTCTGTGTTTCCTGCTGGATGGTGGGAAATTTGTGGCTCTCTACTTGTTTTGGCCTACATTTCCCATCAGCCATATCCAGCATAGCCATTGGTAAGGGGTTGTGGATATTGTAGGGCAAAATAGGTGGAGACTCCCGAGTACTGGAGAAGCAGGCACTGGAGAAGCAGGTTTCCTAGCAAAATGCTCAACCAACAACTGAACAGCTTCTGGGGATGAGGTATGAGAACAAGTTTGGCGATTACTGGGCAACTATGATATGCTTTCTTCACCAGATGATCCCTTCTGCTCAGGAAGGAGTGTATCAAATCAAGAGGAAGCCAACAAGATTTTGTTACTAGCCTTAAGGTTGACAATAGGCAGACCCCTGTCCGTCCTCTTCACAATCGAGACAAGGCTTTGAGTGGCTGAGGACAGGAACGCCCGGAAAGTTCCAGACAGCTTTGCCTCCTGTGACTGTTGATAGCACAGCAAGTCAGCACCGCCAATCCCATTCAGGCTACCAGTAAGGGGGACATTGAGTGCCACTAGGCGGAGCTAGAAAAAGAGAGAGAGACTTGATAAATGAGGGTAAATGGAGATATAGATACATATATTACATATATTACATCTAAGGAAGCCTTGGTTCAACAGGCGAGCCCACACACATCACATCATCAACTTCTTGCTATAGCTTTGTTAGCTATACAGGGTAAAATCTAATAAATGGAGTCTGTAGTACCAAATGAAAGCAAGTTTAGTTAGCTGTCATGGCTATGAACCAGACAGCTATGGGAATGGCAGTTCCAGAATTTTCTGCATCCTCAGAATTACACTTTTCATGGTTCTTGGGAGAAGCTGTCACAGTTAAATTAAATCTAAGGTGTGTCATTACATTTGCAGCAGTATAAGTGGCATTCTGGAAGGCAATTGAATTAAATTGGACTAAATTTGGAAAGAGTTTCTATAGCCAAAGGCAGATTCACTTTTTGCATGCCACTCTGGATGAACTTACCGAAGGAATCCTTTGGGAGCTGCTAATTGATGGAGTCTGAGTTGGTACTTGGCTTTCATCCTTTTGGATCTAGAGGCATAGGATTAATTTATTTAGATCTGTATTCCAACTCTTCATGATCCTCAAAGCAATTTACAAGAGACTGTGCTAACTTAACAGAGGGGGGGAGGTAGGAATCATAGGTAGTGTTTGAACCTTTAAAAATTTACTTGTAAAAATGTTTAAAGATGGCTTGTAGATCTTTTCTTGGAGGGGGTAATTTAAATCTCCCATAGTACTGTATTATCACTTTAGATAAAATCTTTTCTTCTGATACTGTGTTTAATACTTTTGAGGTCCTAAAAAACCCAGTTACCTAAAAGTATCATTAATCTAAGAGTGCTGTTGGTGGTTTATTCCACCTAAACAATTGCTTTCATCTTTTGATCAAGATGTGCTTGCAGCTTCTGAAACTTCACTTTTGTTACTGGATTTCAGTTGGGTGTATCTAAATTGGTAATTTATCTTTTTCAGAAACTGAAATATATCAGTTAAAATTTATATCTGAAAGTCTTTTAGAATAATGACATTTTCAAAACAACTTGCAATTGATATAAAACAATGAAACATGATCACCCATTATGGCTTTTTAGCCATGACAATTTGGTATGCTGTGGAAACACAGATCAGGGTGGCTGTACCAAAACATGTCACCTCAACAACCCACAGGCTGTTGTAGAGTTCTTGTACCCATAATGGGTTGCAGTCACATCTGAACCCAGATGACAACCCTGTCATGGCTATTGGGAACTGGCTATAGGACCCCATGGCAAAAGAAGCAAAAGCCCCTGCAAGCAGCTCTTCCCATGGAGAATGCTTGAGGGCAGCTGTCCCTGCGTTCTCTCAGTCCTCTGCAATTGTATGCTGTTTTTGGTTCATTATGGCTTTTCCTCCCTTCTCCCCTTTTCTTTCAGGAGATCATGAAACCCAGCTGTCAAGCAATCCCCCTTTGGACAACTATGGACAGTCCTTTCAAGGAGCCCCAGCAGCACCTTGGAGGAGCTGCCTTAGATTGTCCACCCACAGCATGGCATCAGAAGCTGGGAGAAGTCCTCACCTGAGTTTTCTCTGTAGACACCCAAGGGTCATCACCAAGAAATAAAGTCTGGGAATCCTCCAGCTGTTCAAGAAATAAGTAAAAGCAGAGATTCATTTAAAGCTGAACTAAAAGGCATGTGTATAAAAACGATTATTTGTTCTCAAATGTTAGAAGGTTAAATCAAGATGACTGTCATCAGAGGCAGCACTGTCAAACCACTCCAGCAACAGATGGCAAAAGGAAGCTTGCCCTGCACATCACACATCCACAAAGCCACTTCCCCTTTAGAAGTGATCTTTCAGTTAGTTGCCAAGTTCTATGAATGTTCTCACCCTGACGTAGATTAGCATCCCTACAGATCTTACCAGGAGTTTGCTCCATCCCTTGGGGGTCCGGAAGAAAGCTTCATTCTCTTCCCTGGCATAGACCAAGCTGCCCTCAGGAATGGAGGAGGCGGATTTGAACATCAGCTCTTTCGACTTGAAGATCCAGGAAGAACGCTGAAAAGTGAGGGAGATGAATTTTAGCAGAAACACTGACATCTATCCAGCCTGAACTGGAGAAAGGACTGGGAATCAGGGCTATGTTAATATGTTCTAGGCCCTTTCATTATCGTTATCATCGCAAAAGCTTGATTGTTCTTTGCTCTTTGTTATATTACTGGAACTTACAGCATTTATTCCACCTGCACCCTGGTTTCCAAAGAGAAAGCATGTTGTTTCAGGCTGGAAGCTAAATAAATAAAATTCAGAGAGAGAGAGCTAGCCAGCTAAGGGGGAGCTAAAAAGGGGATGTTGTGTACATTCCACTTGCACTTCTGGTAAGCAGCCTCAGAAGGTTTTTGTATTGTTTCAAACCTTGCTTGAGAAGAGGTAGCAATTGGACTGTTCCTGGACCAGGGGTCTGAAAATGGGATGACTGGATAAATAAGCTTGAATAAAGGAGGGTTTTTAAAAAAATAGCCTATGACCTTTGTTAAATTGCCATCTGTAACAGGTAGCACCTTTAAGCAGAACAAAGCCCTACAACTCCCAGCATCCCCAGCCACCAAAAAGCTCTCTTTTCTGTTCTGTGTCCCTATCCTGGATTAAAATGTTACCAAGTTAGGAGAGGACACAGCTAGTGATGGCTATGTATTGAGGGAGTATCTTTACTCCAGATGCTGGGGATGAACCAGAGAGAAGATACCTTCATGGCATGCCTACAGCCTTCTCCCTTGGCAATGTGGCCAACTGCTGGTGGAAACAGAATACTCGGATGTCATGGACTTTTGGTTGGATTGAGCAAGATATTATTTTTTCTGAGACCAGTGCAAGTGACTTGGGGCCCTGATTCACACAATAGCAGCTGAGCTCTCATGCCACCTCCTTTTCTCCAGCACCACCGCAGGGCGCAGAGAGACAGATGCGATTAGCCTTGTGTGCTGTGGCAAATCTTCAATGGCATCCCCAGAAGTAGCAGCTTCTGTTTAGGCAAATGAGTCTGGTAGCTGCCTGTCACTAGCAGGGAGTTGCTAAGAGCAGGGGATAGTGCGGATGTTACAAGGGAATCAGTGTCTCGTGGCTCTTCTCATTAAGGTATCCACTGAACCAGTCTAGCAAAGAACTGAGTCTGCTCCAGGCCAGTGCCTCCACGAATGGTGGTGCAGTAGCCAGAAGCAAAGCCTCCAAGTGCAGCAACAGTCTTCCCTGTGACTGAGATGTGCTGGAAAAGAACTCCTGGCTATTGGCTATGACCGTCCTGCCCATTCTTCCATGTGGCATCCATCTGGCTGCTATGAGAAGACCCTCCTGAGCAAGAGAAACCATCCTGGCTTAACATATATGTTTACTAAATAAGCTGGATTCCCTTAATGTCTGCCCATGATTGAATGCTACTTTGGACAGTCCCTGCAGCATTTGTCCTTTATTGCATGTGGGAACTTAGGCTAAACAGCTGCATCAAGGAACGTCAAACCATGACATGCACCTGTGGTTCCGTTCCTTCTCTGATGACAGTGTCTAGCACGAACATGGGGCTATGAGCTTTCTTGTAGCCATTTTTCTTATACAGGCAAGTCAACTTTAAAATACTTAAATAGGAGGTGCCAAGGGGAAGCCACATTGCCCCGCTGATTGGGAAGCCCTGTTCTTTAATCCGGTGGCAGGAAATGCACCCTGCATGTCCTCAGCACAGAAAAGGTAAAATGCAAGGCAACACACCTTGGAACCATACATGTTTCCACTGAAAGAATCCTTCAGAGGCAGCTCTAAATCTGCAAAGCAAATCAGGTGAGAACATAAGCGGATCAGATGAAAAGACCATCCAGCCAGAATTCTGTCTGCAAAGGGGCCAACTGGCTACCAATAGGAAACCCACAAGCAGGACATGAATCCAACAGTACCCTCCTGCAATGTTCCCCAGCATGGCCCAAGTATTGCCATGGATACAGGAGGTAGCATATTGCTGTCATAAGTTGTAGCTATTGCTGACTTCCTTCTCCAAGAATTTGGCCATGAATGGCCATGCTCTGCCCTCTCAGCTAGCCTTCATTCCTTCTCTGTAGGAGGTGAGTTTTCCAGCAGCCTTTAAAAACAAGAGCCAGCCCCATTTCCTACACAGACTTCACCCAGCATCTTGGAAGAGCTGGCAGACAACAGCCCTCCCCATCTTCTGCCAGCCCACTATTGGCTCTGTTTCCCAGATTAGCCTGCTGCCAGTTCTGAGAGGTTGTACGGAACAAAGAGCAAGTGCATCTTCCATACATTTTGGTATGTTTCTCTTCCTTCATGAAGTCAGGAAAGAAAGGGTCAGCTATGGCTAAACATCTGCTAGAAAAGTCTACCGCCTTAATAGGGAGTTAAGCCTCCAGCCTGTAGGTTGCCTCCCTCTGCTATCTGTCCACACCAGGAAGGGTCAACTTCCCAAGTGCAGAGGTGAGATCAGACCTGCCATAGCTCAGGAGCTGAATCTCAAAGTTAATTGCCATTGCCAGTTAGCACAGAGAAGGTATATGAAAGGGCAGAAATGCCTTGGTTTTTTTCTTTCCAAATAGTCTGAGTAAGAGCAGAAATGTTTCCTCTTGCCCATCTTCCTGTCTGCTCCAAGCCAGGATGCTCTAGGTAATTCAGAGTGGAGGACAAGGGTGGAAGAGCAAGCTGGGGCATTTCTGTCCTTTCGTTCTTTCCCTTCTCCCCTGTGCCCAGGCTTGGCTAATGCAGTGACAGGTTATACAGTCAGAGAAAAGCACTGGGGGAAGCTGGATCCTATTCACAGGCTGCAAACAGCCATTCCCAATATATACCAGCAGGATCAGAAAGCAGTAGGAAAGGCATGCAAGACAGGTGCACATTAGAAGCATTTCTGGTTCCAATACAGCAAGGAAAGAGCTTGTACCTGCATCCATATATGGGTCCTGGTGCACCTGGAAGAAATGAGAGCAGATGGATGAATGGCATATTATCAAGCTGTATCGATGAACTATGAGGACAGAAACACCTTTATCAATGCAAGATGGGACCCACTGGTAAATGGGATCAAATGAGGCTGAGTTGCACCAGTAAGCATTCTTGCTAAGCAAGGAGCCCATTAACTTGATCTGGCACTCCTTCCTCCACACACAGAGAGCTCCTGGGTCCTGGAATCAGCAGCAGATTCTCTCTCGCTTTTGTGCACCTATCAGGCTTGTAAACTGTAGTCAAAAGTTATCTTTTAGATAACTTCAGATCTCCACAATGGTTGCATCCAAAGAATCAGGACCAGCTGTCTTCCATGGTTATTATTTACTTATTTCATGTTTACACCTCCAAATAGTCAAGTCTTTCTGGGTAGCTAATGAAAGTTGAAATGGCTCTGTACTAATCAAGGTCTTCTCAGACAACCTGGTTTGCTAAATGGTACTTTCTGCACCTGGGGGCACCTGTCCTTGCAGGATGTTTTTGAGGCCTGTCAACTTACCGGCTGTTTGCAGTGTGGCCTGGGTCGGACAGAGAACACTCTCTGGAAAGAGACAGATCAGTCCAAGATGAACATCATGACAACAAGCAAATTTACAGGGAGGTAGGACAAAAGAAAGGATACAGGTTAAGGGGATGGAGGTCAGGTGCTCCATAACTTTCTCAGTAGCATTTAGGACTAGGGACACAATCCTAGAAAGTAAAGGACACTAACCCACCACACTAAGTACTGAACCTCTTCCCATACTGTTGTGGATATTCACTTTTCACCTTCATAAAACACTTCCAAGGCACATGCGTGTTGCAGAGTATTCAATCATGTTCTGATCACACTCATCACAGCCAAGCCTGTTGGGCCTTGGTTTAGCAACACCTGAATCCTACAGTATGTTCTCAAACACCCGCAACATCACTCTGCAGCAGCATATTACATATTAATAGTGGCAGGGTAAAATTGCCTTTCAGGAAAGAGAAATCACTCATCTTTTCATGATAAGCTTCTGACAAACCCTGAAGCATCGTTGGCATAGTTTGAAAACCTGTGATGTAAGTGGAAGCCATTGGAAGCTCTACCTTGAGGTTGGAATAATCCATTCATCAATCCCCTTCCACATACAAAATCAACCCCACAGAAAAATGCTTAAAGGAGCAACCTGGTGGCTCATACAAATAACGCATGCCATATAATGTAAGAGAAAAGTATAAAATACCCCCTGGCAAGAAGCCAGAGAACATGACCTAGCCAATCCAACACGGGTTGATGGAGGGGGACAAATTTGTTTTGGTACCCAAAGATGGTAATTGCCATTGTGCTCCCCACAAAGGAAAGCCCATTCTTTCCAGTTTTGCAACCTGGAAGGTCACAGAGTACAAGGTGGGACCTCACCACAGCCAAAATACGGGGAAATAGTCCAGCGCCAAGGAACCTGCCTTGGAGGCTTTCACCAGGTCAAAGATGCCTCTGGAACTTGGCAGGGCAGGGCAAGGATGTAAGGACACTGCAGTGAAGAAAAAGCAGACAGGGAAGGACAAAGCAAGTCCTTTTGCAGTTGCCCATCCTCTGAAAATTGTCCCCTCCTAAATTCACCTTTCTTCTTCAAATAAGGAAATAATTTTCCTTAGTAAAACTGCCAGTGTTGAGATACGTGTGTAATTAAAGCCTAAAAACAGAAGAACTGGATCCCTGGTTTTCCACAAAGCACTCCTCCAAAACCAATGCTTGTTCCCTGTTCCCCAACATCGAGGCTTAGTTACACTCATGCAAGCTAGCTGTGCAATGGCTGAATTGAGTGGGAAGTCACTCACGTTGAGGTAAAGAACCCCTGGTGGTCCAGGAGGGCCTGGGGGCCCAGGCAAGCCAGGACTTCCTGGGGGGCCAGGAAGACCCTAGAAAGAAGGAAGGAAAAATAGGCAGCAGTTATTCCAGAAGGCATACCCTGAAATTCTACAGCAGACCATGGATATTTCCCACAAGTCTGAATGTGCTGGCAAATAGCATGCCTGCGTGTGTTAATGGTTTCCCGGATTCCATGAGAAACTATTGAACTCTAATCCTCAAAGAAAGCTCTGTAAATGTACAACCAATCTGGGAGCTTTGTTGCATACATTTAGACAATGTGCTATCTTGGAGAAAGAGGTCAAGATAGCATTCAGGACATCCTGAAGGTTCCAGAACAGGATACAGGTTTCAAAAATTGGCAACCCCAAATCCAAACTGAGATCTTTTGCAGAATATGTAAAGCTGGAAGTGAACGTACATGATTGACAATTGCTCCGTACATATCTGTGTTTCCTTTGCCATTCTGCAGGAGAGAAGAAAAAGACGTAAACACAATAGCCCGGTATTGTTACTGCCCTATCTTGCCCATCCTCAATATTTTCACAGAATAAATTTCCTGAACTTGATATTTCACATGGATTGCAAAGTTTTAGGTCTTAAAAAAATAACTGGGATCACTTCTGAGTGCAAACACTTGTGGTGGAAACTGGGAGTCATGTTTTTGTTGACCCATGCTGAAAGATCCATGTCGATGCCACTTTGGAGGGAAAGTATCTCAGCAATATGGCAGTTTCACCTTGGGATGGGGAGAAAAAGTACAGCACTCCAAGAAATGGAGGTCTTGCAACTTGTGTGCACTACAAGATGAGATCCCAGCTTCTCCAATATTTTTCAGAGATACAGTGAGACCCAGGAAAGGACCCAAGGAACTTTGGACATTCCTTTATTGCTTCTTCCACAGGTAAATCATTCTTGACTCAAATACCAGGGTCCCCTTAATGTACCTTGTAGGGAAACACTGCCCAGTGCAAGTTAAGTTGCTGCCATCTTATGTAGTATGATAGATTAGTAATGTTGTATAAGCCACTCTACCACCCTTTGAAAGCTGACTGCTTCCTATTTGAGAAGATTGGTTGAAACACCCTCCTAAGTGATGTTTTATCCCATTTAGATAAAACAGCACTTAGGAGATGTTTTATCTAAATGGGAATCTACAGGGAATGAAGATCTGAGAGCAGTACTCCAAAGGGATGCACAGTGGTACCTCGGCTCACAAACGCCTTGGTTCATGAACAAATCGGGTCACGAACAAAAATGTCATTAAAATGTTGATGTGGGTTGCGAACTCCGCATTGGGTGGTGACCAAGATCACAGCCATTTCCCCCTACCCCCCTGAGTGGGGAGATGGCCGCGATCGCAGTTCTGTTCATGCAGGGAAGGCCTGCGTGATCAGAGGTGCGCCGCTACAGGAAAGACGGGCGCAATCTCGGCCATCTCCCCCATAGCTGCGCCGCGCCCGTCTTTCCTGCAGCAGTGCGCCTGTGATCACGCACGTCTTCCCTGCACGAACAGAACTGCGATTGCGGCCATCTCCCCACTTGGGGGGGTTGGGGGGAGATGGCTGCGATCACAGTTGCTTTCATGCAGGGAAGGCATGCGTGATCAGAGGTGCACTTCTGCAGGAAAGACGGGTGCAATCTCGGCCATCCCCCCACCCCAACCAGCACGATCACGGCCATCTCTCCCTCCCCCAGCATGCTGTTTGCGCCCGTCTCTTCCTCCCCCAGTGTGCCCGCAATCATGCCTGTCTCTCCCCACCTCCCCCTAGCACGCCGGGATGACGGGCACATGCAGGGATGACGAGCGTGATCTCAGTCGTGCTGGGGGGGTGGGGAGATGGCTGCGCTTGTGCTTGAGGTGGGGAGGGGGAGATGGCTGTGATCTTTGTTGTTGTCACTTTGCTTCACATTTTTCTGATTAAAAAAATGGTTACAGAATGGATTAACCTTATTTACTTTGAACCTTATGGGGAGATTTAACTTGGCTCACGACCAATTTGGGTCACGACCAGAGTCCTGGAATGGATTAAGTTCATGAGCCAATGTACCACTGTATAGATGGGAAAGGAAAGTGGATTGAAGTGGGAGAGACAGAAAGGGAGGCAGAGAGAGGGGCTGGTTTCTAGGGAGGTCTTTCAAGTGCTTCTTTGGGAATTCAGCACAGGGTTAGCTTGCTCCCTGCTATCGGAATCCCCATTCCCCTCCATTGTGTTCTGCTTGTATATGTGTAAATAGATATTACAATGATTTCACTGCTCTGTTATCCAAGGCAAACCAGTACATCTAGTGCTGTCCTTGCACTTTGAAACTTGGCAAGGCAGAGAGCTTGTAACTGCATGAGACACAGGGAAATGAGCACACGACTTCTCCCACTATCTCAGGAGTGACACTGTAGGCCTTGAAGGCAGTGGAAGCATATTGGCCAGGAGTGGCGGCTACACACTGAAGCCCGGCCAATGCTCGGCCAGCTAACCTAGATAGGACACAACTTTTTGAGATGTACCTCATGGTATGTAAAAGGCATCCAAGCATCTGATGAGTCAGGAATAGCTGGGTACCGCCTCCTTATTTCTTCACAGCACCTGCGACAATCCTGTGTGAAAGCAGCATTTTGAACTTCAGAATGAATGTGAAAAGCAAAAGGGGGGGAAATCCCCTTTCCATCACTGAGCCTTGAAGGAAAGAGGTATTGTTTCCACAACTACGCACCAGCTCTCCTCGGTCCCCCTTTTCACCCTGCAAAGAATAAAGAAGAAAAGAAATGTAGAGTTGGCCGAATTACATACATATTTTATGCTCTGCCTTTCTAAACAAGCCTACAATAGAGGCAAGGTAGGAATACACCATCGAGGGGGCGGGATGAACGGTAGGTCTCTCGTTAAAGAATAATGTTAGTGGGGATGCTGCTTGCTTACCTTAGGACCTGGAGGCCCAGCCAGTCCTGCCTGAGGGTTGCACTGCCAAGAGAAGAGAGAACACCAAGCCATAAGCTACCACACAAAAGGTGACCCACCTCTTGGTGTCCTTGCATAAAGGACAGTCTGTGAACCTGCACTGTGTACTCCTTCCAGTACGCGGTGCATCCAGAGCGGCATGAAACAGATAAATCATGCTAAAGACAACCACCAGTAAGAATAAAAGAACCAAGGGAATTTTAGAAGGGAGAAATGATGTTGAAATTACGAGCTAAGTGGACTAAGGAGGAAGGGAAGAATTAATGGGAAAGCAACTTGTGTCCCATGCTGACTGGACATTCCTTTTAATTCCTAAAAAGATAGCCAGGATTTTTTTAAACAGTGTTCTTAGTAAGGGTGGAGGAACCCATGATTTTTGAGCTTACCAAACTTCTCTAATTTTCAAGCTAATTTTGCCCTGTTTCTTACTGATTGTTTGTTTACAATCTATTTTTCAGCTTGTGAAATGAGAAAAGTTCACATTTTGAATGGAAAAAATACACACTTACTTCATGCAGATATACACCCATCTGTGTGTATATTTTTAAAAAGCATACATTTTCCTTCCATTGACTAAAGCATAAAATACACTTTATAAAAAACATGATCACAGTTGGCATGAATTTGTGAACAGCTCCTGACAAATTCTGCTGCCTACTCTTGAGTTTGGGATAGTGAACATGATTGTTTCAGACAATTTGGGAACATATATGAAATGCTTCCACAACTTTTAGTTTTCACAGCTACAGTCAAAAGTTCTAGATAGTCACGCTAAATATATATATCCATGTTTCCTTTGAGGGCCACCCTGCCCTCTTTGCTGCAGGCAACGAACGTGCTGGCTCAGGGCTGGGTCTGTCCCCACTCACCTGGTGCTCAGCATGTCGGCCAGGGTGGCCCATTGGGCCAGGGGGACCAGGAGGCCCCCTTTCTCCAATCGGTCCTGGTATCCCTTGGGCTCCTTTTAGGCCAGTGTCGCCTTTTTCACCCTGCAAAATAAAACACATGGAACTTATCATGGCTAGTCCAGACAGAAAACTCAGGGTTCATAAGTACCAAAATCTGACAAGCAACGAGAGAGGGTGGGGAGTGCAAGAGAGTGATTTAGGCATGATGTCCCTTGCTTCTGTCACATTTACATCTTCCCAGCCTTTGATCTGAGGTGCATTTGAACGGTTATGCTTAAACGGTTACAGAGCATTAGCAAAATTGCTAATGTGCATGTGCAACAGTAGCCCAATCACTAATGTGCATGCTTCCTGCCATGTTACCAAGGAGCTCAACCAGTGCCGTAAACTGCACAACACGTGACAAAAGTCATAGAATTTATCGCCTCAGTGACGGTTGTTGAGATAGGGAACTTTAGAGGAGATGAGAGAGATTCCTGGAGGAGAGGCTTCTGTTCATGTGCCAGGGTGTGAGTCAGTGCAACGTGGAGACCAACCAGCCATGCTAGGCATCCTCACTGCCCTGTGTGAACTGACGGTCCAACCAAGCTTGATAGTAGGGCCCAATCTAGGAAAAGTCCTACACTGCTTGAGGCATGCTGGAAGCTGTAGGGCCTTCTTCTGTGTAAACACATGTAGGACTGCACCTTTTATCTGTCACTTGGAAGCAAGTGCGGGCTTTCTAAAAAAATTAACAGCAAGACACTTAACAGTACCTAACAAAGGGAGCCAGTGTGGTACAGTGATTAACAGTGTGGGTCTGGGACTCAGGTGACGTGGGTTCTAGTCCCCACTCAGCCAAGGCGCTGAGTGACTTTGAGCCAGTCATGGGCGCTCAGCCCAACCTACCTCACAGGGTTGTTGTGGGGATAGGAGTGAGGGCAGGAGGGGGAGAATGGTGTGAGCCACTTTTGAGTGCTTTAAAAGAAAAATGGTCAGCGAGGCACTTTTCATTCCTCCATAGAACTGAAAGGCTGCCATGGACTCTTTTGAAGGGCCATCCTCAGGAACACCATTGGGCTTGAGGTGAGATGGTGTTGTGGGGGGGGGCAAAACCCACTTTCGATGTCCCCAGTTTCTTGGAAGGATGGGCAGGTTTTGCCCGTTCCCCTGCCAGCCTAGCTACTTGTGGGCCATGTACTTTTCCCCTTGTTGACATTTGAACCTGTTTGCACAGGCACAAACCTCTTCATCTGCACAGACCAGGTGTGGATTCTGCCACCTGGTGTGATGTTAGAGTGAACTTAAACTGTAGGAACCAGCCTGTACAGGTGAGCTAGCAAAATGCCTGTCATTATGTTGGAAGACTTGTTTATGGAAGGAGGCCTGCAGAGTGCTCTCCCTGGCCTGACCAGTTTAATTGTACTTTACTCTCCCCATCGCCTGAGTCTCTGACCCAACTCTCCCTAAGGCTTAGTTATGGCATAGGTTACCTTTGGCCCATTCATGCCTGGATGCGCATCTCGTCCTGGAGGACCTTCCTGCCCAGGAAAGCCGGGAGGTCCTGGTGGTCCCTCGGGGCCCGCCATGCCTGGATGTCCTTTGGGGCCCATGGCTCCTGGAGAGCCCTCTGCCCCTGCTGGCCCTGGAATACCTGGGGACCCTGGCGGGCCAGGCTGACCTGGTGTACCAGGGAGGCCCGGGGCACCTTGTGGACCATCGTGCCCTGGGTGGCCAGGGGAGCCCTGGGGGCCTTCAGGTCCTGGGTATCCTTGCGGTCCAGCTGGGCCTGGGTGGCCGGGCGGGCCTGGAGGTCCAGGAGGTCCTTCAATAGTGGAGAATCCCTAGGAAAAGTTGCAGAAATAAAAGAAAGAAGTAGGACTGTTACCAATCGTTTAAGACACTGAGCCAGTGGAACACTCTTCTGCCTCTGACGAAGGCCAAGACTGCGTGCTGCAGGAGAGAAGTAGGTCAGCCAAAGACAGCCTTGCTTTTCAAGTGGGCTGCTGCAATCAGATTGGCTGTAGCAGCAGCTGGGCCGAGCTAGCCAGAGCTGTGTAAGGGGGCAAGCTTGTGAAGCACCCCAGTGACAAAGCATCCACCCACAGGCAAGTTAAGCACCCATATGAACGGAGGAGCAGGGCGAGGAGGCCCACACAGTCAGTGCCATTTCTTCTGCTCTCATAGCAAATAACTGTTTGCGTGTAGTTGATTATGACTATAAATAATATCTGCAAATAAAGAACTGTGCACAAATTCTCCACCACCTCCTAGTAAACAACTCAGTTTTCAAGATAACCAATCCCAAGATGAGCAGGAAAAGACGTGATGGAAGCCAGCAGCAGCTTGTGGGTGTGATTGTCTACCAGATGAGCAAAAGTCCTAGCGTGTGTTTGGGATAATGAGCTCCTGGCTGTTGGGGAACAAGTCCATTCCCCTGAAGCCCAGGCTGTTGATCTGGAGGGAACTGAGGCAGAAAGCTGATGGACCACACCTCCAGATGTAATAGCTGTGTCCCAAACCCTGGATGAGAGTGCCTTTGCTCTCGTAGAGAATGGGATCTTGGGAAGGAGGGGGGTCATTCTCAAGAAGAGGGTCAACATCTCTTAGAAGGGACCCATTCCACCAAAGTCCAGCCAAGGATGTGCCTCTGTGGAGCACAGGGCTTGTGGTAGTGGGAGATCCAATAATTAAACCCATAGACAGCTAAGTCTGAGATGGGCATGTAAACGACACAGAAAATTGTCTACTTGCATTGAAATTTACAGATAGCCTGCACCGCCTAGATGGTCCTATTGGTGCTGAAAAGAGGGGAGCCGGTACCTCACATGATTTGTAGCTATATTTCTGTTAATGTAGCCCAATACAGCATTTGCTTTTTTGCAGCCACATCACATTATTGCTTCATATTCAACCTGTGGGCTTCAATTCCAAGATCTTGCTCATGTAAAGTATTTTTGAGCCTAGCATCTCCCACCTGGCACTGTGCATTTGGTTTCCTTTTCCTGGGTGTAGAACTTGGCATTTGTCTCTATTGAATTTCATTCTGTTGCTTTCAGCCCCATGCTTTAGCCTATGAAGATAATTTTGAATTTTGTTTCTGTCACCTGGGGTATTAGCTATCCCAGGTTGCGTCATCTGCAAATCTGATAAGCATTCCTTCTTGTTTAAATCATTAATAAAAATGTTGAAAAGCACTAGTCCCAGGACTGAGCTCTGTGGTATCCCACTTGTTACCTCTCCCCAGTCTGAGAAGGTGTTGCTGAGAACCTCTCTCTGAGTCCCATTTTATAGTCAACTATGGATCCAGCTGGAACACAGTTTGAATTCTGGGCTGTATGTCTACAAACAAAGATGACCTCTGGCTAGGAATCTAATGATACTTCCAAACTACTGGAATAGGTTTGAACATGCATCTCAGTTCATTCCTAGTCTTTCAGCAGGAAAGGTACCCCATATCTCACCTTTTCAGAGACCTCACTTCCATCTTCGGCACTAGTACCTGGATTGGACAGGCCTGGATGTCCTGGAGGTCCAGGTGGCCCAGGTGGCCCTGGAGGCCCTGGCAGCCCAGAAGGTCCAGAAGGCCCAGGATGGCCAAGCTTTCCAGTTTCTCCAGGTAGTCCTCTTTGCCCTGGGGGTCCTTGGTCACCTTTGTCTCCCTGTCAGAAAAAAAAGAACTTCTGATGAGAAATACAGTCATGTTCACAAGGAAGGTCAAATATTCAAGTACTTCTGTGGTACAAGTTCTCCTTTTATCTCAAGAATGCCACAGGAGAAATTCCTGCACACCAACAGTTGCTTAGGACTATAGGTAGGAGCCAGCACTTTCCTGCAACGTGCCTGAATGGGAGACACTATGGGAGGAGAGTGTGGACACGTATTTTGGGGGAATTTAAATGTATCGTGAGAGGTGGAGTCCCTGCTCCGGGAGCCAGCCTTCGAAACCAGGTTCCACTGGCATTTCAGTGAAAGATCCTGTGCAGCTGATCTGGTGTCTTCCAGCTGGTTGTTCTACAAGCCTTTATCCCATAGCCAGCATGGACTAGGGGTGAGGCAGCTTGCAGTCCAACATACCTGGAGAGCGCCAGGTTGGTGAAGTCTGCCATGCAACACCAAATCTTTCTTGACTTAACACGGGGAAAGGATTTATTTTGGTTGCCTTCTAGTTGCCTGAGTGCCCACCTCTTCCCTGAGGTCTTGTACCACTCCCTTAACAGCTCCACAGCGTAGCTCATGGCATCAGCTCCTCTTAGCATGGAGATACCATGATGGAGAAAGTCAAATTTTTAACTATCTTACAGCCCTTAAAAGGCAGAAGTCCACTGCTTTCAGGGCAAAACTGGAAACCCAAATAGCATAAATGTAGCATAGTTTTCTATGCTAAGGGACAGGATGGAAGAAGTGGCCAGAGAACATTGAAGGTCTGTGCGTAGAAGAAGGTGACACCTAGATTGCCTCATCCCCACCTTAAAGTCCTAAGAATGGGATAAAACAGTGAAAATATAAAGACCTCATCTGGTTGCACTCTGTGTTCTGCCTGCAAAGTGGCTTGGCTTCCCTAGTACCACAGACAAAAAACTGATGCCCACCTTTGGACCACGAGGGCCAGGTATCGCTGGACAAACACACTGTGAAACATTATTCATCTACGGAAGACAGAAAAAGCCGTTAGTGATAGGCTACATCTCCCATACATCATTCACAAGGGGAAGAATATGAAATCCTGCTTTGTTGAGGTATTCATAGATATTTTTAGAATGCACATCCCATTTATTCAGCCAAAAGAAAAGCACTGATAACACAATCCCAAGGAACAGCTAAGAACCTACAATAGCCACTGCAGGGTTCAGGGCAATCTCGGAAGGAAAGAATCCCACCATTTGGTCATGTTTCCTCTGTAGGGTCGCAGCAGAAGGATGAGGTGCTCATCTCACTGTCGGCTGGTACCTTTGACCAACTTCAACTCTTCCTAGAAGAATCATACTGACCTCCGCCATCTACAACAGACTCTGTGCCCTCATCACATCCACATTGGATTTTGGTGATGTGTTCTATGAGGAAACTGGCTTTCCAGATGGTTCAGAAGCTGCAAATTGTTCAATGAGCAGCAGACCGATTCCTACCAGAGGCCAGACGGTCATAGCATGTTATTCTTATTCCAAGCAATCGTTACCAGCTCCCAGTTTGACACTGGGCTCAGCACAAAGTGCCAGGGTAACTTTTATAGCTCTAAATGGTGTGGATCTAGGTTGCCTAGTGAACTGTCTCCTTTCATGCCTGAATACCAAGGACAACCAATTCCTCTGCTGCTGATGTTCTCACACATAGCCCTCTGCATGAGTGAGTGACCCTGAGCTTTAGAAGGACTGCTTTACATACACCTGAAGAGCAAACCACAACATACCTGCTTTGCCAAGGAGTCCTCCCTGCCCAGGGGCTGGTGAACTGAAGGTGTCAAGAGTCTTGAGGTCTCCTGGATACAGGATGATGAAAATTAGGAAATCATCTTCACTAAAGCGCCAACTAAGACTGGATCTCTTCCTCCAGCCATAGAGAAGTTTTGCGTCCCACCCAAGGGCAGGTCTGGCAACTTCTTATGGTGGAAGAAGATCCAGCTGCAGTGCAGTGCACACATATGCTTGTGCTCAAAATATCAGCTCCAAGAAGACCCTGGGAAAAGTCTGGAAGGCTGCAGATTCTCAGGGAAGGAGAGGAAAGGAGGCAAGTCCTCTGAGGCCCAAGGCACAAGAAAAGGCCTAGCAAAGAGGAAATGGGCAGATATATGCCCTTGCTAGTAGCTGGTAGGAGTGCCATCATCTTTTCCTCTTTACCCCGAGAACAGAGGTAGCAGCAGATGACGTCTCTTCCTTGGGGGCCACCTGCCAAAAACCAAAACAGATTTGTCTTTTAAAAAGCCACCAGGTCAGGGCCGTGCATATACACGAGGATCGAGATGCCAAACACAAGCCCCTCTGGCAACTCCATGGACTCCCCAGTACAGTGTGCAGCATCGTCAGCACAAGTAACTAGACCACTCTGGGCAGTGGCAGAGCAAATATTTTGCACGTGAAAGGTGCCGGCCCTGGGGAGGCCCTGCCAAGCAGTGTGTAGACAATACTGAGGGAAGTGGGACAATCATCTTACTCGCTCTATGTGCTTCCTGGCCTATGCAGCAGATGCCTTTTGCAGGACGAGAGCCCCAGTTGCCAGTGGTAGCTACCAAATGTCAGTGCCACAATCCCTGATGGTCATGATTACTCACCCTTTTAAGTGGTGGAAGCACTTGCTGGGAGATAATGGGGAGATATAATGTGTGCATAGATCGCCTTTGTCATATTCGTGCAATAAATCCCCCCTAACAGATCAACTTACCAGAGCTGCAGGAACAATTTCTAATTTTACTGTCTAGCTGAGCTGGAATTAATGGCTTGGTGTTCAGGTATAATTAATCGCTGTTCTTTTCTTTTTTCTTTCAAGTGAAAAGGAAGTGGTCCCGAGGTATGTACTGGGCAAGGATTCTGTTCCTCCAGCCCACCTGGGTTTTAATGCCCGTATCCCAGGGAGACCTCCAACCAAGAACTAAAACTCTGAATAACCGAAACAGCAACCACTGAGTAACCAAGAGCTGTATCAGCTGGGTTTACCCCACCAAGTATACACTGACAGGGTGTTACATGGCTCCGTGCAACACACACACACTATGTATGTACACTCATGAGGAAGCATGCATTGCAAACATATGGTGGCTGAATTTGAATGCTGCATGCAAAATATTCATGTTTCAAATGTATTTGCAATTAATGTACGAAGCGGGCCATGAAGATAATTACTCATACCTCTGGGTCTGATTGAGGGGAAGGAGGTTTAGGTTGGAAGTCATGAAGTCTGGGCAGATTTAAGGTCTGGCACCTAGTGTTCGTCTTTTTTAGACAGAACAGAATGATTTTCAGGATCCCGAGAGCGCAGAATTTTGTTTTGTGAAGGAAGTGTAGGAAGAGCAAGAAGTTGTGCCTGTGAGCAGCTCAGAAACCACAGTGTGATGGGATGGGCGGCCCTTCCAAATAGCCAAGGGGACCGCTTCTTTCAGTGTGCAATCCCAGTGCTCCACGGAGGCCCCGAAACATTTCAAAGAAGGTCGGGCAAAATATGGCTGCAGCAGTGCCACTCTCAGTGGGAACGTCACTTAGGGAAATCCCTCCTGAAGGATTCAGAGCTGCAGAGGTAAGATAAACCTCACGAGTGCTGCCTTGTAACCATGCAATATGGATTCTCCAGTCAGGGAAGTCAGCGCTCTCAACTGACTCACTTCAGTCCTCTGATGTTTTTCCTTTGGGGCCAGTGGAGGCAAGTGTGATCTTTCAGTCTCCTTTGTCTGAAATGTCAAGAAAGTAGGAGGAAGCTGGTAAACTGTGGAAAAGCTGGTACTTTCCAGCTAAGTGGAAATGCCAAACAAAGGTTTCTGGTTGAATCAGATCATCTGTGAAAGTGCTTGTTTTTCAGGAATATCCACTTGGGACATATCTATGCTACTGCCCTAAGGATCATTAACTCCCTCTCCACAGGCCATCACTGAAAATATAGTTATCATAGACTCATACAGTCGGAATAGGTCTACAAGGCCATCTGGTCCAACCCTCAGCTCACTGCAGGATTCAAGTCTCCCATCCAGATTCTAGCCAAGCCTGACCCTGCTTAGCTTCCAAGATTAAGCAGAACAAGGCACTTCAGGCTATACAATTCTTTAAGGGGAACAAGGGCTTTCCCTCTCCCTTAAAGAATTTTCCCTATTAGGGAACCCCACTAAATGACACTTCCTACAATTCTTGGAGGGAATCTCCGATAGCTACACTATCATGCAGCTGATACAATTTTTAGCATAGTTCAGAAGGTGTACCTGGGATTCCATAGTGGGGAACCAGTGCCATTGTGGCGGTGATCTTTTAAAAGGAACATGAACCAGAATTAAAACAGTACTTCCACATGCCACGTAATATAACACTACATTTATCCTAATGGTACAACAAAACTGATCACACAGGCAAGCTCCACCATATCATCCTTCCAAAGTGAACTTCTGCTTTTGCTTTCCTTGGCCACCATCCCTTGTGTGGTATCCTTCTTGCCCCTCTTTTTTCAAGAGGGCATCAATTGATCCATAGCTAAAGTTCAGCATACCTCTTCTGCCATTGGGGAGGGTTGGCGAGCTGATGGAGTTGAGAGTTTTGTTGAGGTCCTCTGGAATAGGAGATGGCAAGAGTTAGTAAGTTGCCTTTTCTTAGGCACAAGCCAGGACCAGATCTCTTCTCATGACAAAGACCAAGTTGCTGCACAATCTACACATCTGTCTGTTTTCAAAAGGCAGCTATTTTTTAATGGTCATTTCCTTAACTCCAAACATATGAATCAGCCTTTTTTTTGTAATTTGGCCTGGCTAGGGCTTTATTAATGTGTTTCCTCATTGTAGAACAAATCATTATGTGCTCAGGCTTTAATTTTTGATTGTAACATCTTCACCACAGAATGGTGATTTTGGCAACTTAAATGCATCTGTAGAAAACACAAGGAAGTGAGACATTACTGTAATTCCCTTTAGATTCAAAACAAACTCAAGTTGCTTGGCACTTATATAGCCACAACAGTTCCATCAATGCACAAAATGGAGGTTTGTATCCATCAACAGGTTCACAGGATTACCAAAGTTTGAAAAATTACTTCTATTTAACCCCCTGGGATGGAGCAAAGCAGCCAAATGAAGACAGAGGGTGCTTTCAGACAAGCAACACCCAGTCCTAGCAGCCAAATAGTATTCTGTGATCTTTTGTCCTTCCCTTTTTAGTAGATTATTTTCTAGTTAAAAAAAGATGGAAGAAATGTTGCGAAAACATGGGATAGCTATAAAGTGATGATTATGGCAGTGGCCAGACATTCTGTAAAATTACATGAATAAGGCAGGGTGATGACACAATGACATCTTCATTTGGAAGCACCTTTAGGAGGCCTGCCTGCCATCCTGGCAACCCTTCTCTGGTTACCTGGGTCTGCAGGAATTCAAGCTCTTCTTCCTCAGCACTGCCCTCAATGCTCATCGAAAAGGGAAAGGGAGTGTCAGGAAGCTCTTCCTTGCTGTCAGCTGCTAAGATGGCCTGCAAGGAAAACGACATTTGTGAGTGCACTTGAGCCTGGCACAATACAGATGCTGGCTTGCTATACGTATTATATTGGTGAAGGGGGGGAGACTGGCTTAGTGCCATTATGCATATTCATCTCTGTTTCTGGAAGGTAGGGAAGAATCTGTATATTTTGCTATGTTTGAATAATAGTATATTTTCTTTCATTAGCAGACAGGTGGAGCTAACTTTTTAACAGGTGCAACCTCAAAATTGCACCCTTATGATCCAGGCTACATATGGACCCCTAATTGATTGCTCAGTGGTGAAAAAGTATCTTTGCACATTCTCAAAAGTCCTTCTGGCCCATATTATTAAATATTATCCTCCCTGATTCTAAAAAATAAGATAGAAGAAGCCAATATTAAACCCACAGAAAACAGTTGCCACCATCATGGGCTCGCACACCCCATGAGCAGCTCACATCTCCCAAAACTGTGGGAATAAAAAGGGATGCAAGTTCTGAGGCTGAACAATGGCTCAAATGAGATCTGAAGGAGGAAAGGGGAAGCAGAGTAATGAGTCTGTCCAGTAGGATGGCGAGCTGCCTGTTTGCACAGGTGAGGCTAGAAATGGTGTGCCACCCATTCATAGCCGTGTCTCCTCTGCCCACAGTCACACTTGTCTTGAGTTACATTCCCCCTGGATGATGCTCTCCGCAGAGCTGCCTTCTAGAACTGTCAAGAAACTTCAGCAGGCCCAGATTGCTGCCGCGGGTCTGTTGACCAGGGACAGGTGCAGGGTGCACACAGCTTCCTTGGCTACCTGTCTGCTTTTGTGCAGACTTCAAAGCGCTGGTTGTGACTTCTGAAGACTCATATGGCTTGGGACTGGACCACCTGAAAGATCACCTTCTTACATACAGGTTTGCCCAATTCTTAAGATCTTCTGGAGAGGCCCCTTTAAGAAAGGGCACATTTGGCGGTCACCCAAAAGAACACCTTTTTGGTGGCAGCTCCTAGACTGGAACTCCTTGCCAGGGAAGACAAGGTTTTCTCCCTCTCTGCTGATCTTCCATCTGCATGCAAAACTGTTTTATTCAAGAAGAAAGACCTTTGGTCTATAAGCAGGTTATACCTGCAAGGTATTTTTAATGTTTTCAATTTAAATTTTTTATCCTGCAATTATGTTTTTACTGCATTTCAATATATTGTTTTAATCAACTCTAAGCTTGCCTGCATTCTGCATTGAATGCTATTTTTGGTAGGAAGGTGGGGTGCAAATCAATCCATCCATCAATCAGATGGATAGCTCTAGAAGGTGGCAAGGTGGGGGACCACTATTCAATTTTCATGGGACACTCAGGAAGGTTAGAGGATGGTTGAAAACATGATTGGTGCACGTGTCCTGCATCTTGCAGGTTACAAGGAGTAGGGCATCCTGCCGGAGGCTGGCCCCCGATCCTGGAACTGGTGCAACTACGAAGTAAGTAGTCTTTCGACACAGAATCAAGAATCACTCTTCTTCTCTCCCCTCCCCGCTTTAGCTCACTTTTGACTAGCCAGGCCCCCTCAGCTGGCGTCCATGAGTAGCTACATCCTCTGGGGGAGCCATTTTCTGGCAGCACACACAGTAGTTTCTCAAATGTGCTCACCGGTCCCTCTGTAAGGGTGCAGACCCGATTGTGTGGGTCCGCCCCCGGAGCCGGATGGATCCGGAAGGATTCCTGAAGGCTCTGGGGGAGTTTCCGGCTGACAAGACGGGTGCTCCTGTCGAGGCTCTGGTTGAACTGTGGAATGGGGAGATGACCAGGGCTGTAGACACGATCGCTCCTAAGCGTCCTCTCCCACCGGGCAGAGCCCGCTCTTCCCCTTGGTACACTCCAGAATTGAGGGCAATGAAGCAGGTTGGGAGACGGCTAGAGCGTAGGTGGAGGAAATCACGTGATGAATCTGACCGAACACACTTAAGAGCCCACTATCGGGCCTATGCTGTGGCGGTGAGGGCGGCGAAAAAGAGACACTTCTCCGCTTCCATTGCCTCCTCACAATGCCGTCCGGCGGAGCTCTTTCGAGTGGTGCAAGGCCTGGTTCACCCAGGGCCAAAGGAAGAGCTGACTCCACCCTCAAAGGCCCGCTGTGACGACTTTGCCGAGCATTTTAGGGAGAAAATCGCTCAGATTCGTCACGAGCTGGATTCCACTATTGATTCAGAGGTTTTAAGGGAGACACCAACGCTGCCGTCTGGTCCAGAATTATTGGATGAATTTCAGTTATTGCGGCCCGATGATGTGGACAAGGTGCTTGGACGAGTACGTCCTACCACTTGCCTTCTGGACCCTTGCCCGTCTTGGTTAATAAAGGATTCCAAGCACGGGATTGGAACCTGGATCTTGGAAGTGGTTAACGCTTCTCTGAGGGAGGGTCGGGTGCCTGCCCCTTTAAAGGAGGCGGTAGTCCGACCGGTCCTGAAGAAGGCGTCACTGGATCCAGGGATGGCCGCTAACTATAGACCAGTGGCCAACATCCCGTTTCTGGGCAAGGTGTTAGAGCGAGTGGTGGCGGGACAACTCCAAGCACTCTTGGATGAAACTGATTATCTGGACCCATTTCAGTCCGGCTTCAGACCCGGGTACGGTACTGAATCTGCCTTGGTCGCCCTGTACGATGACCTGTGCAGGGAGAAGGACAGGGGGAGTGCGTCCCTGTTGGTTCTCCTGGACCTCTCAGCGGCTTTCGATACCATCGACCATGGTATCCTTCTGGATAGGCTGGCGGGATTGGGGGTCGGAGGCACCGCTTTGCGGTGGTTCCGCTCCTATCTCAACGACCGATTCCAGAAGGTGGTGTTGGGGGACTATGGCTCTGCGCCATGGCAGCTTTGCCATGGGGTACCGCAGGGTTCCATTTTGTCCCCTTTACTGTTCAATATCTACATGAAACCGCTGGGAGAGGTCATCAGGAGGTGTGGGCTGCGGACCCATCAGTATGCTGATGATACCCAGCTCTACCTCTCGTTTTCCACCAATCCAGGTGAGGCAGTGGCTGTACTGAACCGGTGCCTGGCCGAGGTAATGGGCTGGATGAGGGCCAATAAACTGAAGCTCAATCCAGACAAGACGGAGGTCCTGTTGGTTGGCGGTTCGGGCTTCAGAGAAGGTGACCTGAACCTTGTCCTGAATGGGGTTGCACTCCCTCCTAGGGACAAGGTCCGCAGCTTGGGAGTGCTCCTCGACCCGGAGCTTTCACTTGAAGCTCAGGTGACAACAGCGGCGAGGAGCGCTTTCCTCCAGCTTCGGCTGATTCATCAGCTGCGCCCCTACCTGGAGTACGACTGCCTTGCAACAGTGACTCATGCGCTGGTGACTTCCCGTCTTGACTTCTGTAACGCGCTCTACGTGGGGCTACCCTTGAAGACGGTCCGGATACTTCAATTGGTTCAGAATAGAGCTGCCAGGCTGCTGACGGGGACTGGACGTTATGTTCACATGACGCCAGTTCTCCGTCAGCTTCACTGGCTCCCCATTGAAGTCCGGGCCCAATTCAAGGTGTTGGTAATGACCTATAAAGCCCTAAACGGCTTGGGTCCTGGTTACCTGAAGGAGCGCTTACATCCATATTTGCCCAGTCGCCCCCTGAGATCGGCGGGAGAGGCCCTTCTCCGGGAGCCCTCCGTGAGAGAAATTAGGAGGGTGGTTACTCGGAGAAGGGCTTTCTCAGCGGTGGCGCCTAAGTTATGGAATGCGCTCCCCAGAGAGGTCCGCCTGGCGCCGTCGTTATTTGTTTTTCGGCGCCAGGCTAAGACCTTTTTATTTAAGCAACATTTTAAATGCTAAATACAATTGAATTTTATCTGGCCAGGGCGGCTTATTTTATAATGTGAGTTTTAATTAAGATTATTTTATATGGATTTTAACTTGTTTTATCTATGTTGTAAGCCGCCCCGAGGCTTCGGCGAATGGGGCGGCATAAAAATGTTTTAATAAATAAATAAATAAAATAAATAAAAAGCTTAGGAGATCCAAGAGTTATAGTAAATTGTTGGAATATTAAACCAGTGAGTTTTAGTTTAAATGTAAATGCTTTGTTGTTATTTTAAGCTGAGTTAGAATGAATAGAAAACAAGTCAATATCAAGAATTCTAGATCAGAAAAATTCTTTTGTGAGTTGTAATCTAAATGAGTGTAGATAATAATAGATTTAATGTGAGACATTCTGATTTTGATATCATATGTAATATCCATGTAAGATCCCTTGATATTTTCTTTCTTCCCCTTTCTGAAAAGAAGTGCAAAAACATTGGAGAAGGCTAATCCCACTCCATACCCGCAATGTGACTGCAGTGTTACAGCAGTAACACTTTGACGCTGCCATTTTGCATGCTCAGTTGGAGAGGCTTGTTTTAAACACTTGATAACCTATTATGGTACAGCTGCATGTTTTCTTGTATAGCTTTAACCAAAAGAACCAATGTTGCCTTTGGCAGTGACTGCTGGTGCTAAAACAAGGACATTACTAATATATAATAATGTCTTATTATCCTATGTGAAATTTTGTAGGATTTTTGAGCTCCAAAATGACAAAAGCAAAGAAGCAGCCATTCACATTTGTCAAGCAATCCCCAAATGAGCATCAATACTGCAAGTTCTGGATCAAATTAGGAGATGCCTCCAAGGGCTTTATGAACACTTTTTGAAAGAACAGAATGACGATTTTATATATGGATAGAAAGCAACTTTGCAAGTAGGCACTGGAAGCCACAAAAGCTTCTTGAAAAGAATATATTCCTCCCGTTATATGGTGGCCCAAAGGAACAAAAGAATGAAGACAAGCATAACAATTTAGTTGTGGTGGAAGTCAGCTGGACACACATTCAGCAGTCAACAGTGGCATTAAGAACCATCATCACGGTCATTAACAAAAGAGAGACTTTAAAGTTCGAGTGCTCTTCCAGTTTTCGTTGAACCCATAGAACTCATCATCACTAGAGTCAGAATTTATGAAGCTCTGTTGCTCACAATCACTCACATCACTTCC